AACAAACTGGTGTGTACAGTATGCTTGGACAGGGCAGTGCATTGACTGAGAAAGAGATTGAAGAGGTGCTTGCTCAAGGTTCATCAATTTATGGTCAGGTTACAAAGAAAACAGGCAAAGGAGCTGCTGATCACCTGATGCCACAGGAGGTGGGTTGCCCATTGGTCAATGTGCAAATCCGAGGCCACAAATGCGATCATGTTTACCTCAACTGTCTTGCAATCCAACTTCTTGCACAGGAGGATGAGCTTGTTGAGTCTTGTGCACGGTGCTCAACTTTGGGCCCAGAATTAGGCCGTGATATGACATTTTTGAGCAGAGAACTACACCCATCGCTCGTTGGCAGTCAGGAGCCACATTCCAGTTGTGTGTGGCTTGTTTTCTTGTTGCAATCGTTCAGGCGAAAGGAAAAGGGAAGAAAACACCAAAACCAGTGGTTTTGGTGGACAAACGGGCTCCATTTGGTGGATTGTATACGTTCCAAGGCTGTGAAAACACTTGGAGATTTAGCACAGGGTGGCAAATGTGCTTCCAGTGTCGATGCTGTATCAAATTGGAATAGCGACAGCAACTGTGACAGCTCCATCCAAAGACCAGCATCTGGGCGAAGGGTGCCTGATCTTCTGTAAGTGGTGTAGAATTCTGGAGCAGATAGATGAGACCGAAACAGCCTGCTGCATCCCACAGGTGATGGATCACTGGCCACCCATGTCTGAATCCATGGTTTTCCTTGGCTTCCTACAAAAGGAGGTCAATTCAGATCAGTTCGAATTTGTGAAGGATCTGGAGACATGGATGAGGCGCACTGGAGAGCCGATTGCAGCGTGCTTGACAATGAGGAGTGTCACAATTGCAGTATGCTTTAGTGCAGGTATACTGTCTGTACCTGTTGTCTTGTGCATATGAGCTGCCCTGCTCTTTGCTCTGGCGTGCTTGACCTCGATGATGGTGATATGAGCTCAGCTGCATCACTATTGCATCTTGACAGGTTGCCTAAAGTCAGCAGGGTGAAACTGAACTCTGGATAGTTTTGAAGTAGTTGTCTCCCTCAGAAGTTTGTTCCAATACTCCCATCACACTGAACAGTGTTGTTGTTGTCATCTGAAGGTGTGATATCTGCTGGCCAGTTTGCCTTGTCAAAGTCTATAGGTGAAACGCGCTGTTCATTCGGTATTTCTGATTCCTAAATCGCCATTCATGATGCAGATGGTGGCATCTTTCTGTTTGACTCGCACTCTGAGCACTACATTGATGGCAAGTCAAGTGGTGCATCTTCCTTTGTGTTCAGAGATGCACAACAGCTGCAGAGATTCTTGCAGCAGCGCTTTCCCGAGGTAAGCAATACAGCCACACCATCAACTCGTTGCTCTTGGGTGCAGCAGCTTTGTTCCACTTGCAAAGATCGCCTCAGAAGAGGCACCAAGCATAGTCACTGAAAACATGGGGACAGTGCTTGGGTACACTTGACATGCCCTCACACCTGGAAGGCAGCGATCTTTGGTTGTCACCTCTGCAGAGTGCATATTTGAACAGCTGTCATTACCCATGCACAAGCATTGTTATCCCTTGTCGGTGCTGGAATGTGGTAGGGATGCAGTGACCTTTAATGCTGTACACTGTGTGCTTCAAGCATGACTTGTACGTGGTTTACCAGATTGAGGGTGTCGAATACTACATGATGAACTTGTGTGAGATCAATGCATTTACCTCGCTATCTGCAACAACGTTGGAGCCTTGCCAAAAGTTGGCTGCTGAGCTGTTTGGGGCAACAGCAAAGTTTGCTGGTGAGTCGCGCAAGCATGGACATGTGGGATCTGAAGTGCATGCTCACAGCTTCATTTGTGACGAGGCACGGCCCTTGTGCTCTGTCACAGCTGGTCAGAAGACCCTTTTGGCGATCTCAGCACTTCTACAGATATTGGGATAGACTGGGAGAGCCACAGACTGGGAAGTTGTTCCTCACAGTCTGCCAGTGCTTCCACAGTCACCACTCCATAGCTATTGAACCATGGCTGTCTTGACCACAAATTGGAAAAAGGGGCAGTTATGTTGTACAGCAGAATGGGAAACCATGATATTCTCTATGAGCTGTTGTGTGGATCGAAATACTGATGTCCAATGAATGAGGCTATGGGAGTAGTCATTATAATTGACACCTGCATGTTGTGATTTCTGCCAGGCACAATTGATCATGAAACTGCACAAGAACCAGCTTCTGATGAGGAGAGCTTTCTGCAGCATGTGAAGGAAAATATTGCCACTGTGCAAGATTTTGTTGAGCAGATAAGTGAAAGCAAGGGGGATCAAAGCTTCAACCTGGAACACCAGACCTTACTTCAGGGACTTTCTCAGTTGGTCTTCCCAAACCAGGAGATCCTTGAGGAAACGACCTTGGAAAAACAAAGCTCTCCCACAGACGATCACTGGACCTTCAGTGAGTGCCACAGGCAGGGAGTCAAGTTTGTGAATTTGCTGCTGCAAAATCCCACCCTGGCTGAGCTTGAACCTGTGTCTCAGCTAAAGCAGGCACTTGAAGAGCAGGGTCGGTTGGTGCAGAAATTGGAAGCCAAGGATCGAAGGGCATCAAGTCCTGTGAGCCGCCAACTAATTGCGGAGCAGGGAGGCCTTTTGCAGCCAGACATTGCTGGTCCCTCTGATGCCTCTACTGTGACATGTCGAGCAGAGGGTGCAGACACTGGTCCATTTGTGTGCTCCATATGCAAGACAGGGAAGCAGGCAGAGGACAAGTTCATCATCAGAATGTGCGGCCACAAGCTCTGCCGGGACTGTGCAAGACAAGCTGTGACTGATGACATCAAGTGAGTTGCATGATGATGTGCATGTTGTTCGACTCGGGCCATTTATGTCTTGAGAGATAGAGTCTGACCTCCTGGCGCAAGGGTATGTAAGGGTAGTGGTGTCCATTACATGTAGGGCCATGGAAAACTACCATATTCAACATTGTCAATCCCTGGATTTCACAAGAGGCCTGTCTTGCAATCTTTTAGGCAATGGCAGGCATTCGAATGTCCACACTGTTGCTGTGGTGGACGTTGCTCTCCAATGCAAGAACAAAATTATGCAACAGACCAACATATCGGGTTGACATTGTTTGGCTGTGGTACATAGCCAGAAATAGAGCAACTTTATCCGGTTCAAACGAAATTCTACTGATCCTAGGAGCTTAGAATCTAAGCTGGCATGAGTTTGGGACAACACACAAGGCTGGTGTAGACACAGAGACAACTTTCGTACTGAATGTGTCACCTATATGCAAGATATGTCATTGGGGTTTGATGTCAACGCCACCAGTCCATCTGGGTTGTACTTGTTGCCATCCTTTGGCGAATGCCAATTATTGATGTTTGCTTTGCTCTCCAGTGATAGGAACCTGCCATTGGTATGCCCTCTGTGTATATCATGCCCGTGCGAGAAGTGCCCTTCAAAGACCAACAAAGTGAAGTACCAGAGGAACCCTCGAGAAGGACTCTGTGCCTTTCAGGACAGCGATTTAGAGATTGTCCTCTTGCCGGAGGACATGAGACTGTAAGTACATGATTATGTATAGCTTATTGTGTGGAAACAATGGACATGTCCCTGCAAGTAAGCACCCAGTCCTGTGCAGTCTACTGCACTAGAATGGAGAAGAGGCCCCTACAAGGTTTTGCTGAAGATGGGGGGTGCTCATGGGGGGAAACAGAACAACGTGTCTTCCTGCATCCCGCCTTCAAAACCTGCATATGCTGTTGATTTAAGGAATGGAGTCTACAAGACCGTTGCCTATTGGGTGGTTGTGCCCATCTACTTTGTTGCACACAGCTCACAAACTATGCACTCGCATATTCCAAGTTTCTGGAGCACCCCTAGTATCGTTATCACTACAGTCTTGCCCAGCACTTGCAGATTCTTCCTAACCAGGAAATGTCAGCATCGGGCCTCCTTTGTTCTGCCACCCCAACTGCTGGCCTGGACTTGAGTAATGCTTATTGTGCAGCTGTGCAAGATGCATGGAAGTGATTCATCAAAGGTTACTTGAGAGTATAGTGTTCAGCAAAAATTTGCATGTTGCTCTTCTGCAATTTTCTGTATGATGGATTGTTCACATGGGCCATCAGCAGACAGATAGTTTTTCAGCTTTAGAGGTTCAGTGCTTGAGCATGTGAATGAACATTGTCTTGGAAGGGTTTGGGGTGAGGTTGGACACACTGCAGTCAGTCATTGTGCACCATGATATCATATCACTGTTGTGAGGATAGATGTATGTCTTGTATTCTATTGGAGCTCTAACACAGCTGCAGAGCAAATGTCATTGTCTTTGTCTTGGTTGGAGCTGTACCTGTTCTCTCACCAGATCATGACGATTTGCGCTTTTCCAGTGGAGTGTACTTTCCTCAGCAGAATTGCATTGAACGACCATCTGCATCCAACCAATGCATCAGTGGTACATTATTGAAGGGTTATTGGGCTGTTAACGAGTTGGGCTGTCTATGGCAGGTATCAGATCTTGCAGGTGGCCTATGTTTTGAAGGGGGAGGGCGAGAAATACTTGCATTGCGGATATTGCGGCTGGAGCGACCGATTCCCAGCTAAAGAGAACCCAGGCCGGTGTTATCCATGCCCCCGATGCAAACACATCTCACTGATCGACATCTTGGACAAGGGCCTTGCTGCAAGGATCAAACCTGTACGGCCACAGTTGAGCAAATATGGGCAAACCTGGAGCCCCAGAGCGACAACTAAACACACAAGAAATGGTGGCGGCCCATTGGCTGAAGGGGCAGAGGGTTGCAATGCTACTGATGTGGCCAAATTTGCCTGGGATTCCGAGCATGTGCTGCAGGATAAGCCGCAGTCGTCAAAAGTCTTGCGGCTGTCTCAAGGGACTACATTGAATCGATCTATCTCCTTGAATTCCGGCAATGCGGGCCACTCAGCTTCTGCTTCAGGGGGTGCTGGACATCAATCTGCACGCACCTCTGCCAATGGCCACTTGCGAGCTGTGCGCAAGACAACTGAGTCACAAAGTCAGGTTGTAGTGCCACAGGTGCCTAGACCAGTGAGCAGTACCCCTAGGCGCTGCCAAAGCTCAACAGGTACCTCCCATGGCCACCTGTCAGAGGCACCCCATGGACGTGAGAATGCACAAGCAAGCACTTCCAGTGAGACCCTGGCACAGGTTAAAACACACCTTGAAAATGCGCATTTCAGGGATGTGGATCCATTATCACACAGAGGTGCCATGTCACCAACCTCCCAAAGACGGAAGCGAGAGGAAACACAGCGCAGTCAGTCCCAAGCAACTGCCAAGGTATGATGACTTGTGGCGGATTTGTGGTGAGCGTGGCAAAATATGAGCTTGTTGTCACAGAGTTCATCAAAAGAGACAGCAATTTTCGTGATTTTAATGGATGAGGACAGGGCAATGAGTGGGCAACTGCTTGCATAAGAATGCGGGTTGAATGCTGCAAGTAAGGTTACCCCAACTTGGGCTTGGTGGTCGCAGAGTGCCCAGAACCATCAGTTTTTGGTCTGAAGCCTTCACAAGGTGCTTGGTAGAGGAAATGCCTTTGTTCAACCGTCATATTTGGGGTTTCCTTGTGGTATCGTTTGATTGCATATTTGAGGAGATGAGAATGTACTATCCACCATATGAATCCATCTGAATCCATATGTGCTATCTATCCATCTACATGTGGCGACCATAATGCTTTTTCCACCCACTACATGTGTACAGAATTCTGTGTTCATTGCCCTTCATTTCATTCTTTGCGCTTTGCATGTTCTGGGGCGAGAGTTGTTGACATGGTATATCTGTTGGCAGGGCGCCAAAAAGAGCAGTGCAGGGAAAAGCCAGATGAGAAAGGCTATCGAAGCTCTGAATTCGCAGGTGGGCCTGACGGATTGGAATTCGCAAGAACGCCTTTGTACGAAATCTGTATGCATGGCAGAACTCCCCTGAATCTTGAAATTTGATGGGCCCACAGTCAAACATCCAAAGCTTTGCTTATCCCAAAGCTAGTGATATGTCTGTGTTTCAGCCATGTGCATCATGTGCAGGTGGCGGTTAGATACCAGATGTCATGTATGACTTCTTGGATGTGGTGGGGTAGGAATAGAACTCGATATTGGCATTTCCGCAGATGCTGTATGTGATTATGCGCCCATCATTAACAAAATCCATGGATTACATTTGTCACAAAATGACAAAACACAACCCGTGCACCTGGTAGGCGATGATGGGTGTGAAAACCAAGCAGATAGTGTGTTCGGAATCGATTATTCATGGTCCCATGTCGTCATTCCCTATTATCCCATGAAATGCAGTGAGCTGGCACGAATAATAAAATCCCCATGGATTATGTTCAGTGTATTTGGTGAAGAAAAATAAATCCCAACTCTCATGCCCCATGTCTCACGCAAGCTCACACACGTCGTACATATATCAGAAAGCGCACCAAGATTCCAAGGCTCTGCGGCACTAGCTCAGAGACCCACGGAATTGTTGCATCTACCAAACGGCTCGCGGATTCATGGCATGTGAAACGGGCATTTGAAAAAGCTGGACAATCCAAGAAAATATGTGCACGATCCTCCCACCAAAACCCACATATACGGCAAGCTGGTGAATCAAAGAGCTGCCAGCGAAAAAGAACAAAGCGACATAGAAATGCATCGGCCATTATAAATTGACATAAAAAACGACTTCTGCATGTGAAAAAGGCTTTGCCCAATCAAGGGAAGGTGTGAATGTCCAATTCACAGCCAAGGCGCAATGCAGTGCTGCCGTCCATTGCCAATCATGATTAGCCCGTGCATTATAGTACTTGGTCACGTTCCAGTTGATAGCCCGGGCACAGTGGGCTATCCTCGGAGCTTGAGCGCCTGCAGCTCCCACCCCGTCACTAGTTGCACTCGCTAGGCCATCCGTTGCTCCATTTTTCACCACGTTGGCATGGCCCACTGTAAACAGACACGGCTCCCAGCCGCAATGATCTCCAGGAGGAGGCGCCGTGCCTCTACCACCGTCGTTGTGCAGTTCCTCCCACCAACCAACGCCAAAATGGCTGCCTGTGAGTCCGTGACAAAACGAGCCTCCACCGCCGATCCCCAGCTCCTGACCAGAATGCCACCCTACTCAGCGCCCAAGCGGATCGCCTCCAACTCCAACCGAGTGCTAGAGTGCAAGCCCACTGATTTGCGGGAAATGTTGAAGAATGCATCCCGGTTTCCGAATGTCCACAAACCTGCAGCCCCAGCACCACAATCCTTCACAGAGCCATCAGAAAACGCCCACAACACCTCGTCCCTAGCTGCGCCACGCTCGTGGTGCAACGGAGCAGCCGCAGCCTCCTATGCAGGCAGCATGACAACATCCACTGGCAACCTCTCCTCCCACGGCTCGAATGGCCATAAACTACACGCTCAATCGCTGGTTCCTCATTCAGAACGTCCTCAGGGAGAGCGCCTTCCCTGGCCATGTGCCCAAGTTCAGAAACAAGCCAGTTCCATGGAGAGAAATTGGGTGCCACGAACCGCCCCTCTAGAGCCCACGGGCCGCGCCGCAAATCCAACCCACCACAAGTCACCATGTGAATCCAAAAGCAAACGAGTAATCTCCTCGCCTCCTCCTGTGGGTGTTGTAGCCTTGCCAGCACCCTTGCTGCATCTTCCTGGGTTTGCCTGAAGAGGCCGCAAGCTAGGCGCCTTGCCACAGCCACCGTCCTTGCCATGTCTGACATGCGGGCACCGATGCAAGAGGTGGTTGCCCAGGCAGGTGCCACATTGTACAGAGCGGGGAGGGCAGCCCCCGTCACCAAGAAGCAGATGGCATGTGGGTGGGCCCCCCAATACTTGCCTCAAAGCCGTTGAATGAGTCGGAGTCTAGCCTGGCATCTGGTGCATGCCTCAGTCACATGGTCTCTCCAATGCAATTTGTTGTCAATTGTCACCCCGAGTAAACTCATGGTCCTTTGAGGAGTGAGAATGTGATGTCCCAACCTAAAAACCATGTCTCGCAGATCCAGAGGCAGTGAAGGTGCAACAGCACTGTCTTGGATGGGCTGACATATGAAACTGTATTGCCCACTTGTACAACCGATTCAATCCCTTCTTGAGCCGCTAGCGGCCCCTACCCAACCTGTCCATCTCAAGCCAAATTATTAAATCATTGGCATAGCCCTGCACCTCCACCAGCCCCTCAACGGCTCTTATAGCTGGATCAACGAAGATAAGGAATAGAATTGGCAAGAGAGGTGACCCTTGGGGCACACCAAATGCCAAATGCCATGTCATTGTACAATCACCAACTCTCAAGTCAGCCCGGCGATCACCAAGGAAATTTGCTGTCCACCGTGTGATGTAAGCTGGTACTCCAACCTTCTGCATTTGGAAAAGCAAATCGGGGCCTCAACCCTATCATCAGTACCTTTCAAATCCAGAGAAATTGCAGTAATCTGTCTACCTCGTTTGAAGGCCATGGTGGCAGCCTCCACAATTGTGCGCTGGAGGCTGTCCTTTGTCTGCCTTAACAAGACACCTACACTATTGTACTGCCCTAATGTGGAGATATTCATTGCAGAATTTGTGTTTGTAAAACACAGCACACTCAGCTTGGATTGCTCAATCGGGACAGGATTGGTCATTTTCCAGCGTCCCCTGTGTATTGGGGAATTCAGCGCTTTGCAATGGCAGTTTCTTGCACTTGTTCAGACAGTCAAGTGTGCATGGCCTGGGATTGTCAACCGCTATTTCGCCGGGTGAACACCTTCATGGATGTCTGCAATTTTGATAGTGTTTTCTCAGCAGTGTCAGTAGCGAATTGGCTCTGTACAGTGTTTGTTCAGGTGGTTGCTTAGGGAGCAGCCCAGGTTCAACGCTTGCACATATTTGCTTGTGGTGATTGATATCAGGCCAAAGGTAGCTTAACAAGTGTTTATCGTGGGGGCCAACCATTGTGCCACCGTGCCACTGGCACGCAACACCAACTTCACCCCATTGCAGGCTGTCCTTGAGTTTATGCGAGAGCGAAAATCTGGGCGTGGTTGAGGGAGGGAATAGCTTGGCGTGGACGATGAAGGTACTAGTGAGGGTCTGTGCAGAACCGCTCCCTGTGTCGCAGCTGTGCCACCTGACCTGACACTGTGCTTGTCTGTCGAGCAGAGTCACATTCACCTTCCAAAAGATTACACGGGCGCCCCCAGCATCGTTTGCAGACAATGCTCAAACCAACTTGTTTCGTATTCCGCTGTGCCTAAAATGCAGATCAAGGCCCTCATCCATTTTGGGGACAACTGTGGGCGCACGACGGACGCTGGGTTTGGCTTTCTTCCAGAAAGTGCAAACACCGAGAGCATTGACGCCCGTGGCGGCACGTTGGTCTGCACGAGCTGCAGTAGAAGGGTTGGCACAGTAGGGGAGTATCGGAAGGCTGAAATTGTCTGTAGTAAATGCGAACAAGCCGTCGAGCAGCCAAGCGACGGGCTAGATATTGTGAATGGTGAACTGCAGTCTTTGCCGACAGCTCAATTCCAGCTGTTTTGCTTTCGTGGGGAGAGCATCGATGTAGCGATAGGGGCATAGAGTGACATCGTGTTTAATGGCATTGATAGTGCCGCAATGACTGCTGAGCATGTAGCTTTTCTTGGTTGTTGGAAACCTGTGCTGCATGCCTGTGGCGTGCGCTGTCAACTATGTCTTTGTCCGCTCGTGCTTGCTGCGCCCCGTGATCATACCTGCGCAGCGCTGATGTGCATATTTATCTTTGGTGCCACTTCAGAATACGGTATCGGATCGATCTGATTCTCGCCGATGTACAGATGAAAAAGCTTCTCGTTAGTTTTCGCATTGTGAAGTAGCCTGCCAAACGTGGAGCTGGCACCTCACGAATGCGAGCTCCGACTCGAGGCAAGGAAGCATTCCAGTTTCATCTGATTAACCTCAGGGGCCAAGAGTGAATGCAAAAAACACCGCCAATGCTGACAAGACCCATTCAAGTAGATGACGTGCCAAAAGATTGTATAGCTATGGGAGATGACGGTTCGGGACAATTTATCGGCTCAATGTCCCAAACATGTCGAGTCAGGCGATTTTCAGAGCTGAACATTGCAGTTGAACGCCGGACAGAGGTCAGAAAATAGGGCTGAAATTCTGTCGATTTGGGATCTTCCCCGTCCTCTGTGCCTGAATTTGGTCCGTTTCACAAACTAGTCTCTCCCCTGCATTGCGTGCATGAACCATGCGATTTTCTACCGGGAAACACTGTATACTTCAAGCACATCTTTCTGTTGGGCTTTCAGCCCTCAACCTCTGCGTGTTTCTCTACCATGGCTGCACCAAATTTTGCAAATTTCTCGAGCCCTTTGCCAGTAACCGCGCCCTTGGTAAATCTGTCTTTAGTTGCAATTTGCGTCTGTGCCCGTTGGCTCACCCAACCATTCCTTTCTCACGCTCTGTTCAGCACGCTTATTCGCTTGTTAGCGGCGCCAAGCAGCTGTCCATGTAATCTATGCAAACTATGCCAAGTGCAGGGCGTTTCAATGCACGTGGCGACGACCACATGTCGTCTGCGTTCATGTGTGCCTTTCTGCACGGCCTCCTTGGACGTACGTTGTCTCTGTGGTATGGATCAGGCGTAGTTCAGGCTCCAGCCCCTGTGCCGCGCACCACGAGGATCCTCCAAGAGGACTGATAACAGCTACAGTCGCCTCATTACATGCATGAGCATGCAAGTTGTGATACAAGTTGTGATGCGCTGTCCATGCCCTCTATTCTGTGCCCGCAAATGCAGTTCCGCCTGCTGCAGATGAACGTATTGTGTACATGCATGAAGACGGGCAGGTGATATGGACTGCACCATGCCAGGAAAACGTGTACCACGCGTAGACTTAGGTGTTTAGCAAGTTATACGAATTTGCACGTTGGCACGTCATCGGTATGGCCAACTGTGCAGCACAGTCTGGTTGCCAACGATGCATTCGAAACGTAGAACAACCGCAAGGCCATGTGGAACAGTTGTGAGCTGCTGTGTGTGGAAGCGTGGAGTGTGTTCTTGGTACCAGTGAGCATGGACGTCCGAGAGGCATGTGTGCCAACGCCATGGGACATGACATCGAAACTTCGACTGGGCTCAAGATTTCTTGCGCCCAGTTGACCCATTTCCACCACCACCACCATCACCCCGTTCTCACAATTCGGTGCCGGTCATTTCAAACGTCGCCCAAGAAGCAACACTTCATAGGCGTTCCAGCCAATTTGCCTGTCGCCACATATGCACATCTTCTTGCTTATCGCACTTGTTCATGTGGGACGCCCAAGCCAGCTTCATCTGTCTGTGCACCCTTGATGTGCGCCACACTGTTTCTGGCGCATCCTGCATCATCTGTTGTAGCATAGGAGAGTTGCAGTGCTCATTTCCGACCAGTCTTTTAGCGATCAACAACATAGGTTCTCCATTGACACTCAAACATAGGGCTCTCGCAGGCACCAGAAGAACGTTGAATTATGAAAGAAAAAAGTAGCTCAGAACACAGAGCAAAGCGCAGAGAGGTACCAAGCAGATAACCTGGTGGTGCAGAATTGACACAAGGCCATTGATGCACTTGGTTGACCACAAGCGGCTCTGTTTTGGCAACAATTCCACATGCGGTTAGCTTGAATATCACATCCTGCAGACACTCCTGGCTTAGGCACAGCGAAGTGGTTTGGAACACCCATTCAGTGCCTCTCTCCGGTAGCCATTCTCGAGTCTGCACAGGGATCTGGTGCATCCAGACGTAGGGAACCAAGTTGTGGCACTGTGAAGATATGGAATCAACCCAATGCAAAGAAATGTACTGCCACCTCCCAAGCATTCAGTTCATTACACTGACCAATTCGGCATGTACATCAGCTGGAGCTCCTTGAACAGCTAAAAGAAGTTTTGGCCCCCAAGGCCTCCTTGCATTTCCTTTCCATATCTTCATGCCTGTTGCAATACCTAACCTTCCAAACCATAGATAGAATTCTTCGTGCAAGGAGAACCAGAGCCTTGCACAGCTTTCCTATTTCTTTTTAGACCCAGCAAATTGAATTAGGATTGCAAGGGCAACCAGCACTAGGGGCAGCAATATTTGAACCGCCTTCATGAACCCAGTCGACTGCGATGGCTGAATCGCTTGCTTCTTTGGTGCAGCCTTTCGCTTGGGACCTCCAGTGTCCTAGCAACAAACGAGGGAGCAAGGGTAAGTGCACAGCAGCCGTCTACACAGACAGATCATCAACAAACGCAGCAGTTCGTTGCCACAGCAATGACAACACCCCAACTACAGAAGCACCAGAAGCAAATCCTTTGCAGGGCACAGCCTTCATATGAATCCAGATTTGCGTCCAGCTAGAGTGGTTTCCGAAAACAATGGCACAAGCGACACTGGACGCAACAAGTTGTGGCTGTTGTGGATCGCCCTCCGGAAAAGAGGACAGCTTTCCACCACTGCCCTACTCCTGGCTACAGCCAACAATCAGGTGGATTCAGAGGAGAAGAGGCAAGTTGCAAGGGCGGCGCTTTGCCTTTCGAAGGCAAACATAAACAAAGGAACTTAGCAAGAGGCATTGCTAGGACAGGGGAACCCAGTTCGTGGGCATCCTGGTCCAATGCGGAATCGGATCTTCAGATTGGGACACCTTATTGGAAACACACATCGTGGCCACCTCGCAAATCGGACCAGCGATCAGACGCTTCAGGCAGGTGGCAGCGACCACAGGAGACACGGGACCCCGTCCCCACCACGGGAAGGAGTGGCGGTCGCGCATCCCTCCACGGAGCGTCCCACCTTAAATTTGCCGACGACGTATTTCTTGAGCATGTCCCTCGCCGCGAGGCTGTGCCCAATCTCCTCGAACTTTTCCGTCGCGTCCGTCCCTGCGGGCGGTCAAAAGCTCACTGCCCCGTGCGCCCACCCCACGCTCAACAGATTCGACCGCTGGTTGCGCCCAAAACGGGCCGCGCGGCTCCGTCCCAGCCACGCGCGCCACGGCCCCGTCCCGCCCACCTGCCTCCTCCAAGATAACGTCGTCCCCGCCCGGATGCTCGTCCAGAAATTCGGTGACGTCGTAGACGTGGTCGCCGATGGCGACCCAGCATGAGGACCGGCTCGCGCGGTCCGCAAAGTCCTCGGTCGCGTACACCTTGGCGTCGGCATCCGCCTTGGCCATCTTGAGATTTGGCCCTGCTCCTTTTAGAGGTGTGCGGGCTCCTGCGCTGCTGAGGTTGGCGACGCGGTGGGGCTGCTCCGCGCCGGGGGGGGGGGAGGTTCGCGGGGACGGGCGGTGCGCAGTGGCTGTGGGCACGGCACTGAGGCCCGTGTTACCAATGTGCATCGAGATGAGTAAAACTGAAACTGGTCTCAATGGGTCCCAGCGTCATAGCGGGACAGCTGGCTTGCACCCTGCTGCCAATTTGCTCGTGGTCAAGTGGATCGTCAGTGACTGGATGAACATCCATACAAGGAACGCGAAAATTCGACACATCGGTGATGCCACGTGTCTCTGCTGAACTCAGATACATATGGATACTGCTGAACTCAGATACATATGTAGTTAGACAGCGTCCCCTTGCTAGCGGTCTCCTCACAACGATTGGCAAATACCCCCCACCCCCCAGCATCAAGGAACACAATGTACATACGTCCACAGACAGCAACTCACTATCAGTGTGTTGCCGTGGATCTGTGGGCTGTGGACCTCCGATGTTGCTCTGGATGTTGCTGTGGACTTGAAGCAGATCGTCAGTGTGACATGCAAGCCAGGATGCCGGCGCTCGCTCTCGCGCACGGTCCATTGATCAGCCTAGCGATTAGTCCCTTGAACTTCAGGTTCCTTAGAGCCCGTTTCCTTGAAGCCCTTGGCCTTCAAGGATAGAGCACTGAAGGCTTGTTCACCGGGCATAGTATCATTGAGACCGGGCAATTTGGCTACCCCTTGTCAAGGCCTGCATTCAATGGGCTTCGGTCCCATGTGGGCCATAAGTCCGTCCATTTGCCTGTGCGCAGAAACACAAGTTCCTTGGGGCTGTCTCAATGATGCCATGCGCCTTGAGCACATTCCCTTTGGTTGATAATCGTTGACGTCCGGTTCTTTGTGGTGATCGTCGTTTGGGCCTGCTTCCTTCGGTGCATGCTCCTCATCGCCCCGTTGTATGGGTTCCGTTTTGTCTGGATTGGTTTCTTGGGGATCATATGCGTTCAGCCTTCAGGACGCTACGGCGATCTTGCATTTCTGGAGGTATGGCTAGAGTCTTTGAGCACCGATGCGGCCACAACCGAGCAGGGTGGGACAAGGAGATGTGCGAGTGGTTACTTTCCCAAGAGCTTCAACGCTTTACAGTTAACTATGATAATGTTTTCAACATTCCAAAAGGAACGCTCAGCATAAACGTTGACATTTTGTAGGAGGAAAGTTCTTGGTGGCTGCGTAGGAAGCAACACTGCAATTGTTGGTGTTCAAATTGAAGCCGCGAACCGAACGAATGCGTACATGACAGACATTGAAACACATTTTAACATTCATGCGCGGACTGCACGTGATACAGAAGTGGGGAACGCGGAATATGAATGCAGGTTTGTATTGACTGTGGGCGGTAAGGTATTGGATATCAGGCTTGGTAAATACGGCTTGGGCTAAATGAACATACGCGATAATACGCGTATAGTGGCAAAAATAAAAATGCACGTATTCTTAAAACGTATTTGACAACAATTAAATCAAATGACTATATAGGCATCTCATCCAATAATTGGCCAATTTGTATATAAATTGGCTAATTATTGGACGGGATCTGACTCTTGTATCCCATGGACCTATGACTTGCACATCACGAGGGAGTTAGGCGCGCTGTGGGTGCGGCGAGGAGTGAGTGGTGATGCTGAATGTCCCCAACGCTGCTGACATAGTTTCTGTTGTAAAGGCAATGGGTGAGGATGCAACGGACGGGTCGGGCATGGATGCTGACTCATTGAATTCTTTTGGATGCTGATTGATTGATAGGTTTTCAACTATGGATGCTGATTGAATAGAATTTTTCACACTATTCAGGCTGTAGTCGTGAAAATGTTTGCCATCGTTTAGACGTAGTTTAAAACCCAATGCAAAAATACGTGTATTTCACCGTATTAATACTTTACGCCGTATCCGTATTTCCCAACCTTGTTGTAGGGTGAATATGCAAAGTTTGGTTTTCTGCATCTTACGGCAATAGCTTGCTCTGCGTGAATCCCCCCAAGCTATCAGGGAAGCATCTCAAACAAAGCTTCAGCTAAGAACCAAGTTGAAGAAAGCCAATTCTATGGGAAAAATACCTCACATCTGTGTTGTATCCCGTGCGTTCCGTTAGCAAACTCGATGGAGACCAAGGTCTCTCCCCAACAGTGTAGAGGTGACGCAGTGATTTTGGTGCCTATATGCCCTTTAATTTGAAAACATACGATTTGTTTTACAAGACGGGTATCACAAGAGCAACAGATTCCACCAAACCGCGCCTCTTCAGTCCCAGCGCCCATGTGAAAGATCCAGCTTCGTCAATCCCAACTCCTTATTAAGCAAAAGCAAGTGAGCTATCGCATTGCAGTGAATATCAACAATGCGCAGCAGTGCTGATCGAGTTCTGTGAGCACCTGCTCGAAATAATCACTTGACATTACCGCCGGGGCCATTTGTGCCAACTACCAGGCTGTTAGTCGTGTTCCACCATATTGGTCGGTCTGGTGATCACCGTTCTCCGCGGACACCGGGAAAATTTCCACTGGGGCAGCGTCGGTTGCGGCCAGCGGCCCAGCATGTACGTCCCCCTGGGGCTGTCCTCCCCACCAGCCTCCTTCCATAACCCTGACGCTGAGCCCCGGATATCACCAACCGACAGGCCAGCGGTCGTGGGCCCACCACTGGGCCGCTGGAACGTGCGCTTCAATGGACATGCGCCCACAATGTCCAGCGTCCTGAGCGACGTCGAGTCGCGATTGGCGGTCCTATGCACCCTGGGATTGCAACCTTTCTGCAAGCATTGGAAGAATGATTAACGCGACGGGTTCTACAAGTATGTGTTGTTGTGTCGCTGGATTGCCGTTTCGTTTGCTGTATACTGAAGCATGTTTCACTACGTTTTAGTCATACTTACAACGTGCGCCGCTCAAAATTTTTGGGAAGTTTCTGGCTAGGCATTAGATGGCCACTAGCTGAATAGTCAACTGACATTTGCATCATTTGTGCGTAACAGAAATGAATTTGAGCGCAGGAACTGGAAGATTTTCCGAAATATCTTGGAACCCCCTGAAGGCCGATTCGAGTTGCCTGGGTATTGTTGGGTGGTTTCATGCGTTCCAATGGACATTGAGGCGGGACACGCACAGGAGTTATCGCCCTGGAAACCAGAGTCATGCATTTGATCCATTCGGCGCATTGTATCCTATTGGCACTCCAATTTGTCAATTTAACACAATAACATCCCAACACGAGATGTTGACCTGCTGATACTTTTTAATTGTATTTACCTTGAATACAATGGTTGAAGCGCTTTGAAACGAAATGTGCAACCTGTGGAAATTGTGTACTCTGTCATGATGGGGCATCCACACCCACTCCAGCTCTGTTCAGCTCACCGTGATGTCTCTCACGTTAAGGGTGTCTCGCAAAACGCCCCTCGAAATGGATGGCCGACTGGAAGTCCCGGGAATGTCTTTGCAGAACATCGTGCACGGCCAACGACCGCAAGAAAGTGCCCTGAAGGGTAAGATCAAAGGATTCCATGAGATTTCAACAACGCATCAGGGTACCACCCAGCATGACTGAATTATAGTTTTCGTATGGAATGGCATATTCGCCGTCATTCATTTTGCATCCAACTATCCACAGGGAATCTCTGACAATTCCTTAGCATTAAAAATTTGTGAACAGCAAAAACACACTTGGAGACAGAACTTGTATCAGAGATAGTTTAATCGTGCCAAACCAACTCAACGCGATTTCCGAAGTAACTGCCAATTGGACGCCAAATATTTTAAGCCCTCAAGAAGTTTATTTGGCTCAAATCAATCACATCTACAGATCTGTGTCTCGTCGAATCCTATATGGTAATACCTATGCTTGTTAGAGGGATATGAAATAGAAATTTTGCCCGGTATATTGGCCTTATGTAAGGCGGCCTTATGGCGACCATCAGGTGTGGCACGTCAGTAAGAAGTCCAATATTCTGTATATGGAGTAGGGTATGGGGAGGTCCCAAACCCTGGATATAGAATATGATATGGGTGCCATATCCCGGATAAGTATTCCACGACGTCAGTGAATCCTGGGGCTGGACAGCCAAAGCGCATCTTTCATTGACTCAGCAGCACATCTTCCACTGTATGCTGGACGCAGGGCTCGACGCCCAAATGGAGGTCCATCAATACTTGCAAAATATTAGACATAAAGCGTGAATTCTTGTTCAAATCGCATTTGGATGCTAAATGATGAATTGCAAGTTTCTTGTAAATCTGGGTGATGATGATGATGAATATGAATAAGAAAGGCGCACCAGTACATAAATGGACGGAAACTTGCCGCATGGTCCATCCTTTTCGTTGCCGGTTTTTCTGCCGGTGTGGTTACGAAATCCATTCGCCCGTCCCAGCTCCGCTCACCTGTCGCATCTGGCGGTCTGGCAGATTGGCGGAAGGGGTTCGCTGCTCGCCGTGCACTGCCTTGGACGCAACGCCCCGGTCACGACGCCCGCGCGCAAGGCGGACGTGGGGCGCTGAAGAACGGGCGGTGGAAGTCTGGGCACTTCCATTCCGGGCGGGGAATCGTCGCAGTGATTGAGAGGCGCTGCAGGGAATCCGCTGTGGTGCAATGTCGTCAACTGGTCAATTTGAATTGAAGCGCCGTTGAGAGGGTCTGGTATGGCGCCAGGTCAGGGATGTTCTTGTGGCACAGTTTGGGTTGTGTGCCCTTTGGGGAGATGAACGTGTGGGCTGTTAGCGCGAGCTGTTGAGGGCAGTTTATAAAACGTGAAGAGCAAGAAAAGCGGAGAGGATGATGCCAACAATCTTGGAGGCGCTTGAGTGGGCGTCCTTTATGTCGTGGTGTTGGAGAGTGCCGATACCTTGAGAGGGATCTGGCGTCGACATTGAGGTGTTGGGATGCCTGGACAGGGCGGACTACTGCAGTGGTTCAGTGTCGCATTTTGCCATTTCTGGACGCCTGGGCATATAATCCTACCTCGCCCTACGGGGCAGTGCTAGAAAACCGCGTGAAGAATGGTGCGGACGTGGCGAGGTTATGAAAGTGATTGTTATGCGGGATTGGGGCGGCAGCTGAAGGCTTCCGTCATTTGTTCGGCCAGGCTTGTTATTTGCGTTTGCTTTACGTTCCCGGGTTTACGCTTTTACTCGTGAGAATGTAAATTTGCAATAGGGGCTGTTCTTGCGGCTGTATTTGCGTTTTTGCTAACACCAGGTTACATGATGAAAGCCGTATACAATGATCAATCCTCCGCCCCCTCGAACGTACGGAAAATAGCACCCACCTCACCCTCGGCAAGGGTAACGACGTCATCGAACAGAAGTTCATTTTCTGCCCGCTCTAGCGCGTCTGGATGCCACTCCCCTGACTCCGTCGGTCTGTATGTACTGTCTTTATGTACACGGGGCTGTATTTACGCTGTACTTACGTATTTTCGCCCCTTTTTACGCGAGAAAACATAAAAATTACGTTTATGTGGAAAAATGTGAATACGATCAGTTTTACGGCGTAAATAACAGGCCTGTTGCGGACTGATAAAATAATGAGGATCAGTTCATTAAGTGTGGAAGCGTTTGCGCCTTGAAGGAAGCATCTTGCACTTAACCACAATGAGACCTTAGGCCGAATTATGTACATATACATACAAAGAAAAGTTAACCTCCCCCCAAGGCATTTGTCCTAACTTGATTGCAGTATGCTTTAGGGGAGGCAACGCGGTCCCTCGTGGATCGATATCCAGGATATAGGACATTTTGCCCTGGCAAGAAATCCGATATCCTGGATATCGATTAGGATGTGGGGCCCCAGGTCCTCCCCCTAATGTGGATTTCCGTAACCTAGATACGGGCGCCCCATATCCAGGATAATATGGCCATTGAAAAATGTAAAATTGGAAGATTACATGTGAGTTGTGCCATAAAATGTACTGTCAAGATGTTGTGAGTGGACTGAAATGAGCTGTCGTTGGTCTTTGCGATCATCGCAAATCGGACGTCTTCAACACACAGTGTCGCAAAAAGCGACCGTTCATTTATTATCGCTTAGCAATGAAGGAGAACTACATTGTGCAAGATGAGCATCTGGAAGATAAGAGCTATGGACTGGGAAAAAAGCGGATTGAAATTTGGGAAACATTGAGAGTCCTGATGCAAGGCGAACCAGTTTCGTCTGAGGTTCCTTCAAAGCTTCTCGAAATGGACATTTTCGGTGACTACATTTGCGTCGATATTCCAGACGGTGTGCCGTCAACCTGCGCTGGCCCCGACCAAAAAGCACCCTCGTCACTTCCATTCGAGAGCAAGCAAGTATCAAAGAATCGAGGTGGAGCTGGCAATAAGGGCAACAGCCGGAATAAGTTCAATTTCGGCAAAGCTCTTGGCGGGGCCCGCTACCGCCCTGGGGATGCTTGTGCAGCCAGCAGCAGAGGCGACGGAAGATTCCAGGATGGCGCCTTAACTAAGAAAAAGCAAGAACTGTTCAAATCTGTGCTATCTCTATTTGCGACACCAGACACTGACCCTTGGGCTTGAGAAGGGAGCTTGGATTCCACACGCATCTTTTCAGATTTTGGCGGCCTCCACAGTTGCTGCAGTTTGTCGTCACGGAAAAGGGTGATTTTTCTGACGCTGGCTGCATTGCGTCCAGGATAAACATTTGCTGCCTCAGACCCCGGCTGTCGTTGTACCGATTTCGAAAAAGGGTCGCTGATGCCTCGAAGGATCGCAACGATTTCTGCCAATTGCATTTTCAAAGCCATTGATCAAGTCTGCAGTTTGTTGCTTGTGGGCAATTAGCTTGTCAAGGTTGATGAGCTCAATCAAGAATTATAGGGAACGGATATGTGTACCTGGTCGCCTCCCACCGGCAAGAACTGTTCAAAGCCAATTCACGTTTGAATCGCTATGTACGCAAGATAACAATATGAACATATAAGATGAAAATAATACATGAAGACAATATGATAAGATAATATGAAGACAACAATATTAAGATATAATATAAGATAATGTACGCAAGAGACATTCTCCTATGCCATTTTCACCGCTGACATTCGGTGGCAACATCATACCCCGAATGGGACCATCGCGAAGTCCACAATGTTGTGGTTGTGGATTTCCTTGCAGGGGTCGATTCGTGCACTTGGCGCCAGAGGCACTCAGTGAAGAGAACAGGGAAAGCACGTTGAAAGAAATTGACGATCTGACCAAGCCCCGCCCAAATCCAAAACCTCGCCTGCAGGACTCAGCCATCGACACAAATGGGGGGCTACTGCCTTTCGAAATACGGGTGACAGAATTTCACCATGTTCCATGGCCCCAAATTAGCTGCGGTGCTGGAATGCGTCGGCGCTGGATCGACAGCGCGTGATCACAATCGCAATTGCCTACGAACGGCAAAACGCTGTCCTCGCGCTTTGGAAAGCGATTGCGCGCATCTGTGCTTCCAAAACATTGGTTTGCCCCCCCTTTCTTCGAGAACTATTGGAGGTGTCTCGCCGCCCTCCGCACGTGCTCATCAGTGGCTTTGTTGCCATTGTGTTTTGCGAGCAGCGGGTTGTTGTGAGAGCAGTGCAGCAAAGTAATCCCATGGTTCGACGATCGGAGGGATTCAGCTAACCGGGGCGATGTGAATTGAAGGGTTCATTCTGCTTCGTTCATGACTGTGCTTGTAGGGAATACAGGACATGTTCGGATTAACTGACGCGCCTCACAGCGCTCAAAACTCGTCGACCTCCCAGCAGCGGATATGCCGAAGTCAAAAACGTTGTGGGTCCGACGAGAACGCCTGCTACAAAATAGTGCACAAAGAAGGGGACTCGAAGGGCGTCTCCAGAATCGAATTCGCGTTGAGTCTCCCGTGGTTGGAGAGTGGTGCCCGGTTGAATGCGGACGTGCAGCCCCAATCAATCAGAGTGTCGCACCCCACAGGCTACTCCCTGCAGGTGCGAAAGCAGTGAAGTCGACTTCCTGGTCGTGCTGGTGGCACAATGTTTTGTCGTCGTATTGTCTGCCCAGAAAGTTTTCGAATCCAGCTCCAAGGAAAGCATCCTTCTGCATATACAGTGGCGGAGCACTGCTTGAGCACAATATGGCAAGGAGCACTACTCTAGCACTGCATGTTGGCAAATGCCCCAAGCTTGTGCTGTGGCTCGCAGGTAGACCTTCCTTGCATGGTGGACCCTGAGGCATCAGTTGCTAAGTGGCACAAGAAAAAGCGAGTTCTGCGGATAGCGCTGCCCAAACTTATCCCCATTCCGCCCAGCTAGGGTACCTTTGCTCTGTGCATGTGGCACCTGTGTTGGACAGCCCTAGTTGCAGGTCAAGATCGAGATGTACACGGACACACATGTGAAGTTAAAATGCTTCGCTTTTACATGTGATTGTGACTTGGGTCTCAGGACTGGGAGTGACACAATCCTTGCACAACATGTTGTCCTCGTTCCTTGTGCATGTGCTTGGGCATAATCATGGCATGAATTCGGTTTATTCGCATCCTATTATTCGCATGTCATCCAACAGGCAAACATCAACCGGCATATATCCCATGATCCCAACCACAAAAAGATTTGCCAGCCTGCCACATCAGGTGCACAGTTCATGCTGCTGCGGGGTCCTTGACCAGCATTCCTTAATGCTTTTAGCCACTTTGAAACCTGCCCGCCGTGCACCTGACAGGTTCACCGCATCTGGGCCCACTGCCAGCGCAGAGTAAGCGCCAATCACATACATATTGACGCCTGGATTCCATCTAAGGTCGGGCTGCAACACTGGGTAGCCACCCACAGTCGATATAGGGCTTGAGGTCATCATGGGGTCAAAGATGCCTTCCTCCACCACGTCCATGCGGCTCCCAGTGGCTGCCCATATTCGGTCAGCCACCATCTCAGTATCGTCGCTCAGTAGCACGTCAAAGCTACCCTTCTCAGGAACCCACTGCGCGTCCCATCCCTCCACCCCCTCCATCACCCGGCACCGACCCTGGGCCTCCAGACACTCCAGGGTTGCCTTTCCCTCGGGCGTTATTGTCCCACCCTGCCTGGCCTCTTCAATCATGCCCAGGCGAGCATCCATATGCGCCTCCTTGAAGAATGCCCTCAGCCTCTCAGACCGCAACCGGCCAGTCCACAACAGGTCACTGTCGAACTGCCTGACCTTGAGCTCACTCCTCACAAGCAGCACGACCATCTTGGCCCCCAGGTCGACGGCGAGGGCCGCCAACTGCACGCTCGTCTGGCCGCCTCCAATGATCAAGATCACCTCGCCGCCGTACCTCTGTTTTTCGACCCTCTCAATGTGCACAAAATCCCAAGCGTGACTGATCCTGCCAGCGGGAGCGCTGTCTGGATCGATCCAGTCCGGGAAATTGCGCAAGTTCGCGTGTCCCACAGATGCAACCACAATCCTAGACTTCAATATCGTGCCATTGGCCAGGGTGACGCAGAAACCATTGCAAACGCCATCCCCCCCGTCCTCCCCTCCCCCTTCCCGGAGCTCGACCTGTTCTATGGCCACCACCTCCCCCTCCACCAGGGCGCCCCCCAATCGGTACGCCTGCACCAGAAAGTCACAAAATCGGGCGAACAGCGCGGCGGTGGGCACCTGGAACGGCCCGTGGAACTCCCTGCTCCTGGGTACTCCCGTGATGGGCGCGAAGCCCTCCTCCATCGACAGCCCCAGCGCCCTCGCGTACTCGAACAGCATCTCCGGGTCCACCGGGTCCGGGTGCAGCCCGGCGTTGGACCGCAGGTTTTCGATCCTCAGCACGTCGAACTGCCTCCTCCAGTTCCGCATCCACCCCTCCCCTCCGTGGCGGTCCACCACCTTCAACTTCGGCCGCGCCGATCCCCTCGTCGATGCCCCCGCCCGCCTCCGGCGGTCGATGATCGCCCGCAGCTCGCGGTCGCTCAGCCGGCTGCGGATGACGGCGCGGTGGGCGTCCACCAGGGCGGCGCCCATGGGCTCCTGCTCTAACAGAAAACACAGAAAGGTGAGCGCGTGGGGCCCGGCGCCAACCACCACCAGGTCCTGCACGGTGTCTGCCTCCCCCTCCATGCCGCCCCGGCCGCTTGTGGCCGCTCTCCTCCGTGTTCTAGAGCGGATGGCAAAGAGGATGTCTGACCGGGGATCGAACCGCGTATCACTGGGTGGGATGCCCAACTGTTCTACCAAACCACCTGGACCAGGGGCAGGAAGAGGACAGTGCAGCCCCTTCAGTGCCCGTCCACCCAACACTCTGGTCGGTGAGGAACCCGATCTCGCTGAGGCGCGAAAGTGTTCCGCGGGAGCGTGCTTCCGCAGTATATGCAGCCCATTTTCAAGACGGACCTTTAGGTCCAATTAGTGTGGATTCCACCATGACCAGGCGGGGTTCCACACTGTTAACCTCACTGGCGGCTGAAGGAATGCACAGTCGCACCCCCGCAGTGGCGACACCACGCGGCCCAAACAGGTCGCCATCAAGGGACGGCCGTTGTTCGGGGCCAGCGGTTAGTGGACATCAGCACGTGGCACGGTTTGAACTTTCCCGCCCACTGGCAACCAGCGCTGCCCCCATTTGATGTAGTCCCAGCGGTTTCCAACCTGCCACTGCCACTCAGAGTTGACACTCCCAAGGCTTCAATCGCTTGATGGCACTTGTTACCAGCACCTGACAAATCACCGCACCTTCGATGCGCATCGGAGGTGCTGTGATTTGTCAAGGCATACCAGGCTGCGCTCCATGCTTCGAGTGGCAGTCATCCGTGTGGTTGTTGCTGCCAATGCACACATGCCACGTACCATAAAATATTCAACCCTTTTTTATCAGAAAGTTCACCGTATGCTTCTTGCTCCGTATTTTTGTTTCAGAGCGTTATTTCAATTTTTTTGCGTTGCTCCGGAAAATGATACTGAAAGAGCGTTATTTATTTTGTTGTTTTCTCTGCAAAGAAAGGCCAAGCGTTACGTTACTATGAAGGATTGAATATACTACAGCACCCTAGCACGTTTATGCGATGGAAAGCCAGCGTGCCATACATGCGTACACAGTGCGATAATCTAAAACAGCAAAACGGTCCACCTTGTCTGAAGTCATATGAGCCTGATACCAAGCGCATTGTGTGCAGCAAATACCACAAATCAGCGTGACTTACTGATGTGCTGCCTTGATTCGCTCATGAGGTCAGTAGTACTTACTCAGTACTCCTCAACAGAATAACTCATTAGGGGGCAGGTGCCCTCAGCGTTCAAAAAACGTCATCATCTGTTTTTGCGCCTGCAGTTTCTAGTTCATTCCTACACAATTTGCTACGGCTGATGGCACATGAGTCTCCAATGCATGTCTTCATGCGTCTGAAATTGGCGTTCTGGAGCATGTAGAGTCCCTCAATCTCGAAACCATGGAAACAATTCTTGCTAAATTCTCCAGACTGGAAGACCTTTAGAATTTAGCATGCTTGGCACTGAATGGACGCCAGAGGGTAAGGGGTGCAGGGCGTGGACACCAATAAACAACGTATTTGCACTGAAAGCTAAACAAGGCAGAAAGAGGCTCGAACGGCCTTCGGGATGTACAAGGACTCTGCGCACATCCTCTTCGATGTCTTATTAACTCCCTTGAAGAGATTCACGAGTAATTCACTCTGGAAGAACTTGTGCAGAGGGCGTTGGTAGGCCCTACGGGGACAATTGCAGGTGAGCAGGGAATTGGATTAAGGATGTAGAGATTTATACCAAGGTTTCCCACATTTCTGCAAAGCTCTGCTGCAATGCACCTAGCATGGATGTAAAATGCTCGGCGTGAATTGTTCTATCGCAGCTGACAATGAGACGTCCAACACCAGTGCAAACACCCCAACATACAGACACGAACACTACGTGGTCGTACTTGTCCACATGTAAAATCTCCAGTCCACAGTATTCAAAAATTGAACACGACTTGAGCACCAGTCATAGTTGTATTGACTGGGCAATTTTGTTGTCGCTGGTGTTGAGCACAAGGGTGCCTAAGTCAACAGAGCTGATGGCTGCCTGTCCATGCCCCACACAACCAATGTGGACAGTTCTGGCCCAACTGAGGAGGAAAGGCTCCAGCTGTGGAAACATCCATCACTTATGCACATGGCAAAGAAACTCTTCGAAATATGTTGTTGAACCTTCATGTGATGCGATGAGCAACAAGAAATGCAACAGCATCACCAATGCACTCATGTGAATAGCTACTTTCTGCATGGCAGCACAAATGAAAGCTATCAAATTGCAAAGACAATTACGGTTCAGCTGCGATGTACATTGTACAGCTGAAGCAACAAACAAAAGCAGATGTTTCTCAAATCACAAACAGAATGGTGTCCATTCTGGGTACAGCACGCTACATTCGGGATCAAAACATTTCTGACAAAGCATGTTTGTCTCAAAATCAACAACAAAATATATATGGTTGCTGCGATGAAGTCCTCCCTTCAATGCACAAGCATGGCTTCCTGGTCCCAGGCAGTTGAATGCCACCATCTCGCCGCCTTGAAATCTCAGTTTGCGGACCTGTGCTGTCACGCAGAGAGACAGTAAACAGCAGATGAATGCCATTTTGCAATATCAGTGAACTGCAGGTTAGAGAGCTATTGTGTATCTCATAATCTTCCTTCAAGCACAGTACTCAAAGCAATACAGTCCAAATGGTTCTGAAGTAGCCTTACAGCCACAGGCATGATCATATGAGCACTTGTTGTGCTGTGTGCCAAACCGATGGTGGACACCAAAAAGGTATTCACTCCCCTGTTTTGTGTGCAATGGGAGCACTGAGGTAAAATTGTGCAGCAAGTTGGCAAACAAAGCTGTATCACTGAGTCCCAAATCTGTGAAGGAGCTCCCTGAATGCATCGAATTGCGACTAATTCAAGGCTGGATTACTCGATTTCAGCATCCACACTGGGTGGGAACACCATCATTCCCACCCTGAAAGCTGCTTTACTGTCAACATACCTCAACAGTTCTGTCAAAGCAGAAGTACCTTTACTGCACACTTGTTTCTGAACCCTGTTTTGAATATCAAAAGCAAACGTGCACACACCTCAACACTCAAGCCACAAGATCTAGAACGCCCCAGTCTTTCGATGAAAGGGACAGCCTTCAGGGCTTGTCCCCTGAGGCTGTCTGGTGGTCCACCACTTCCGTAGTGTTCCCTTTTCCAGGAGATCATGATATTGCGAGTGTTGTCACCATTTCTGCTTGTGTCCGTTGTGTCCTGTTGGCATTGGAAGGTTGCCAGTTCTGATATGTCTTGAGGGCCTCCACTGCAGTGTCGAGATACCATCTGCCCCAGACACAGTCATGACAGACAACAGTGAGGCGCAACTGGCCAGCACACCTCATCAGTCAGGCAACCAAACGATCGATCAGTAAGATCAATAATCAATCAAGATCCCAATAACACCAAAGGGTAAAAATCAAATGACAAAGTCAGGGTGCCTTGGCCTGCATGCCTTGCACAAGGCCTTGTGTCAATGACAATGCTGGCCCTTTGTTGAGCGGAAAATTCATGTTATCATGAAGGAAATGGGTCCACCAAGTATTCGGGATTTGATTTTTGTGAATCTGACGTGTGTCAACAGACAACGCCAGTTTTCTAGGATGAGAGTGCCGTCTGGACTCCTGAATGTGATGAAATATTTGGGAAAAAGGCATCACAGGATCCACAGGATTGCTGTGTCCCCAATGCCAACTCATTCTCAAGATCTTGTCAAGGAAATAATGGAATCCGGACAAAAAATAAAGAATATCAACAATAGTGTTGTCCAACGTGATTGGGACCACATTTCAAACTCAAATTTGCAGCGATGATTGAAAGCTCTGGCCAGTTGCCAAACATAGCTGCTGACATCGCACCTGGACTGCAGTTGCACCCTTCAGCTTCAGCAGTCTTGCATTTGGATCAACATTGCAAACCAAGCACAAGAGAAATAGTCGTTCATGATTTGGGAACGACTGCGACAACGAAAATCGACAGGTTGGCATCAATGCAACCTGGTTCTCAGCTTTGCTAGACCACAGCATACGGAATTGACGATTCCTGAAAAGCATGAGAAGATAGACTCATGATCATTAGATGCTGAAACATACAGAGTTGGGCCACTGGAACAATTGGGAAATTAGTTGGAAAATTCTTCCACCGTATTCGCTACCCATATACAGTGATGGTGACAGATTTTATATGCAGATACATCAGATTTCTTTGGGCACAGACAACGATCCTGCAAATTGGGTACAAGAACAGCAACGTGTCACAATCCGATAAATGTAGTGAACGAATTTTCCCAATGTCCCAATCTGCTGCCTTGATGACTTCTGCATCATTATCCACAGGAATGAAGAAAGTCCAATAAAAGTTCTGCCCAGAATGGGAGTGCTCATTGCCAACACGATTCCCTGTTCAACTGTAGAGGATCAACGAAGGTTTCCACAGCTGATTAGAGATCAATCGTGGCACAAGCAGCAAACGTGTATTCTGAATAATAGCAGACTTCATGAGCAACAAGGTTGTTTGACATCCCACATATTTGTTAGGCACTTATTGAGGTTTATGGGGACTTGCTTGACGTCGTGTAGTTTGGGGATACATGCGATATGGTTGCTTGGGAGCTTCTCTCGTGAACCCAAGGGTAATACGGTATGGATTAAAGCTATTTCCAGTGCCACTGCGACTGCGTTAAGCACACCTTGAGTACACCGACACGTCCACAGCTGCGAACAAAGCTGGATCCTCATCCCTGTATTTGTTCACTACCCTCTTAACAAATGCCCCTGCAGCTTGATTGTCCTCGAAAGCAGCACCAGCCAAACGAACAATCAGGTGCCGTGAGAATTTGATGCTGGTTGTTGAGTCCAGCTCCAAGACAAGGGCGTCTCGTAGGTGGAGGTCCCAGGTGTCCCTGTCGATTGTGTGCAAGCCAGCATTTGAAGACGGATGATCCAACCACACAGTCACAATGCAACAACTTGAAGTGAAGCCACACACTGCACAATTGGCCTGCGGCTATAAAGCAGAATAATACAGGGCGTAGCACCCTCAGTTCTTCAACTTCTCATCAATAGTCAGCCAATGGTAGTGATGGTCTGGCTCATTGTTGTCCAGTTCTGCGTATACAGAACTGCAGGTGGTGATCAAGAGCAGCAAAGTCTGGTTCGGTGTGCTTGCTTGTACAGGCTCCAATTTTGTATGTGTGGATCATCAGGGCATTGGTGGGGTAAGGGCTTTGTTATGTAGTTCAGTAGAAGTACCACACAAGCCGCCTAAAGGATTGAAAAATGCGTGCACATGTGTTTCAAAGAATTTGTACACAGAATCATCTCTGCGGCAGTTGGTTGGCTGATCCTTCTCACATGCCCAGTTCATGTTGATATATCAAGCAGAACGAGATGGCATAGGAGGTGCTTGCTGGCCATTCATCAAACCTTCAACACGCTGCACCCTGCAGCAGGCATTGTTCAGCAGGACAGATCTTTGCACGCCTCTTGGGGTTCGCTTCACAACTGGACAAAGTTCCTGGGTATCAATGCTCCTGTTTTAAGGAACAAATGGACATTCGTTGTTGTTGTGCAGCTGCAATGGATGCATCATCTTCCATTATGCTTTCCTCATGCTGCAATTCTGGAACAATGGAAAAACCAACACGCTGGCATACGACTGGTAAATATTCAGACTGAACGCTGTCCAACGGCCCAAAGTACACAGAGGGCCCACTTGCAGTTGACAAAATCGACCTGCGGGAAACATGTGCTTTGGATGTGCAAAGACCTCTGACGATGAGCGACAACAAAAGCCACGGGGCGCCAATAGCGGACTCCAATATTTACTCTAAAACAATCAATAACAATTATTGGGCATGCTAATTTGCATACCATGCACCAGATTGCTTCACAGTCCTGGACGAACCTCAGCCACACATGTGTTCGTTGTCTGTGCGAAACGGATTGAACATTCTTGCACAGACACATTGGCTGGAACCACGCCTGCCGCTGCCTTGGAGCCACAAGGGCTGCACCCTGTCGTTTGTTGGCAAGGCAACCCAACACGCCCGCCACATTTTGATCACGTCTTGACCAAGCAGATCGTTACCTCAGCTCCGCATCGACATACGACAGCAGCCTGTCGACCATGGCGTCCCCTTCCTCCTCTTTCATTTTCCCCTTCTGCAGGTCCACGTCGAAATACAGATGGCAGGGCCGCCGGTCGCGCACGATCTCGTAGAAGTGCCTCTGGTGCATGGACGTGCCCCTGTAGCGCTTCCACATCCCCATGTACGTGGCCCCAATGAAACTCCGCCCGCTGCCGTTCTCATACTCCACCTCCTCGCCGAACAGCCTCACTGCCTCATTCCGGAACTCGCAGGCATCGTCGCCGGCGCCCGCGCGGTCTGCACCCTCCTCGCGAACAGCACCCGCCCCGGCATCCGAACATGTCCCTGCGCCCCTTGTCACCACAACGGCACAATCGGCACCTCCTGCCTCGGAACAGCAAGGGCGGTGGCCTCCAAACCGTCCAACAGGCGCCCCCGCCCGTCTCCCCGCATTCCCATTCCCATTTTCCGGATTTCCCGCGCCACCCAGTTCGGACGGCACTTCGCCTACACTGCCCAGAAGACATCCAGATGATCGGCCATGAGTCGTGGATCGCGCTCCAAGATTGCCGACCCCGGGGTCAGATCCGCCGGCACGTCCGTTTCGGATGTTTCCGCGCCGGCCAGGTGCCGCGAACGCGCCCTTGCGAAGCTCCTCGTTGCACCGCGCCAGGGCCTCCCTCCATTCCTCCGCGCTCGTCCTCCGCCTCTTGACACCAGCCCCCGCATCATCAGTCGAGCGGGCCCTCTTCGACGCGCCCGCGCCACCTGATCCCTCCTCGGCCATGGTCTCCGAAGAACCGCTGGCGGACGGCGCTCCAGGCAGCCTTTCTCCGCCGCTCGTCGCTGTTTGCGGTCCCAGCCATCGTCGCACCAGTTGGCGCTCAGGACGCCACAGGCGGGCGGTCTCCATCAGCTCGTCAGCCTTCGCTGAATTGCAGGCGTCCGCGAAGTCCATCGCGGCGGCTTGCCTCCCAAAGTCTCTGTGCACCGCCGTGGTGCCCAGCGCGAGACATCCCTCGTGCCAACCCCGGACGCTGGCCGTGTCTGGTGCCCTTGGGCGCTCGCCATTGCCAGATTCCCGCCGCTCCCGCGGAAGGTCCTCTGCTTTGGAGCAGCCGCGTGAGCAGTCTTCCTCGTCCGTTGTGCAGAGGTCTATGCGCAGGTCTGAGCCGCTATCCACCCTTGGGCCCATCCTGGGTCCTGCACTGCTGGCGGGTGACAGCAACTTGTACATGGGCAGATAGCTGTCAAATTGGCAAGTTGAAAATTTTGTGAGAAAAATGAAAAATGAAATGAGCAAGCGGTCGGAGGACACAAAGCCATGTTTCAGAGTCGGGAAGAGCTGGGGCAAAACTCCGTGCAGCGAACAATGCAATGGACAAAGAAAGTGAACCATCCTTGATTCCACGATAGAGGGGTGGTTGTGGCACCTTGACTTGATGATCTGCATCCAACCCGCCACACAGCCTGGTATATGGCGCAAATTGCATGTCCAGCAAACGACTCTGCCGGCGCGGTTGTTGGGAATTGGATGTTATGGTCACTTTACAATCCATAGGACATCGTGTTGCACTGATTGGTGCGTCGCTGCAAGTAAGTGCACCATTGTTGATAACGAAACACATAGACAGCGGACAAATGTGCGAGGGGAACCATGCGAACATCTGCATGGCATTTGTTTCAGCAAGCATGTATGTTGCGGACTTGTCACGTGCATCCCTCAGGTTGGCTAATGCCCACCCGGCATGGAACGGCTCTGAAGACATATGACTGCGGGGTGATTGGATATTACGGTCTGCATACTGGCGTAGCGCGGTGCTGCAGCGTTTGCACCAAGCACTGTTTGCAGATCAATGCGACTGAAAGAACGTGGGCAGCAGTTCGTGCAAGTTAATTGTGGGAGATGGCAAGGCTCAACACACCATGCATGCACGCAGATTCACTGGCAATCCAGGACCAACAAATGTCAACACTTGAGTAACTTCCCAAACTAACACAGTGTGACTCCAGCTCACGGATATCAGCTGATCAAGGCCAACTCCGCATGCCCTGCTGTAACCACCCTGCAATAGATTCGCTCACCCGCCGCTCATTCTCCCTCCCCCACCTGGGTCCCACAATCCAATCTCCAATTCCTGAGCCCAGACGAAACTAACAAGAAGGCAGCCCTTCCTGTCTGCAGCAACATCCCCCAATAACATAGATCACTGCCCACTCATGCCGGCGTCATCAAACCGAGCTTTCATAGCGATCGTCATTGAGTAGCGTCAGCCATCGTGCACTAGTCAAGGCAGCCAAGGCCAGGCAAGGGCCAGACTACCACGCCCCATCCAACTTCTCCACCTACAAGAGAGGAAGAATAGCTAATGCACAGTGACACTGCCTGCATTCAATACCGAGGAAAAGGTCCCCAGCTCCGACCCTCACTATAGCTGCGTGCACATTACCCCTCGGAGGTCGAAAAACTCATGTTAACATCCATGCGCATTGTCCCAGGGAGGGCCTAAGGGGTTCAGAGCTCAGTCAATCTCGGAATGTCGTTCTATTAGCAAAAGCGCATGATGCTCTGCCACATGGCCCCCTCTAGACTGGCATAGTCATTTTCCATAGGACCAAATGTTGCATCTCCTGCACTCTTCAACCCGTGAACCCTCACCCCCACCCTCTGCACCCTCACCCCTCAGCGAGCCCTTACTCTTCCACACAATCTTCGTAAGTTCTCAGCACTTCGGTCTCTGGATGGCAAACGCCAGAGCAACCCGTGCTGAAGAACGATATGCAACCCTTTTTTTGTGGGTCGTAGCCATCACAGACTGCGCAGCAGAGCCGCCCCTCGTCCATGTACTCCACGTCCAGCCCAAGCAGCCAGGCGCCCACCGTCACATCGTCGTGAGCATAGCCATGCATGACATCCGCATTCTGTCCAAGGTACTTGGCCACACTGCGAGAGAGGCCAAAGACCTGGGCATCGAACCAGAGCGCTGAGTACGTGCCGAGACAACAATCAACCAAGAAATGTTGCATACCAATGCCAGGATCTAGAACAAACATAGAGATAAATGCAATACATAGAGATATATACGGATATATGCAATATATTGATTGGTCCTCTGCCAGGTCCCCCCCAGAGTGCCGAATTTCTCTTTTCTCCTTGAGACTAAGCATTCTTTTGGATTCGAACAATTTGGGGGAATTCACACAGCCTTGCATGCTCTTGCTAAGATGGCACACGTTCTACATATCTTCTGATAGGACGGGGGAGGCATCTGGACGCTAAAATGTGATGCAATACTATGGAATCAAAAACGAAGCCCAGTTCTAGATTCTGGCTACTCAATTCCCTCACACAGAGCTGTCCTGATGAAACTGTCCAACGAAAACGGAATGTTCTACAGTCATGGCCCCCACAATCCACCAAAGGTGTCCAGTTAAAGGACCAGGTGCCGAACCCAACCTAACAGACGATATGTGGATGATTTGTCCACTAGGATCTTAACTCGTGACATCAATTCAACAAAAATCGAGTCACGCTCAATGATCATTAAAAAAAGCCAACAGGAAAAAGTAAGATAGTGATATGCGATTGGCAGAGCACACACACCCAACACCCCTGCCCTGCTGTTGTTGAACAGGTGGCATTTAGGTTCAACACTAAATATCGTGTTGTTATCTATCGTACACGATAGATCTGCAATACTACCCACAATCTTGACACCAACATGGAGCCACCGGCAGCCACCTGAAATCAAAGAAATATAAAACAACAAAATTCTGCCACTCTCAGGGCATATTACCAAAGCACATAGCTGGCTGTAAATTTGCGTGCAAGGGTATCAAAAGTCGTTGCCTCTCTCAACCATGAAAGCAAGTCAAGCAATGAGCACCCCTGCCTACTAGAAAGCACTTTTGTGGCTGCTGGCCGCACGAAAAGAGAATTTTTGCAGGAGCACAGTCTCCTAGTGCAGTAGCTGGGAACCGAATGAGCAACGTGGACAATCCATCCGATGCCACGGTGCAAACCGCAGCAAAGCGCCGCCATTGCACCTTCAGGCGAGGACAGAGAGTGGGATCGACGGCAGAGCATCAACTGACAGCCATATCGACATTGCTTGGCTCAAGAATGTTTATTCGTATTCCCACACCTGGGTGTGTGCATGGCGGGGGTAGGACAGCTTCTTGTCACCGCCAATGGGGTCACCAAACCGATAGTTCTGTGGCTCGTACCAGGCCTTTTTTGAGTCGGTGACCACCTCACCAGATTTCATGCAGCCCTGCAGAGCAGCAACAGCATCAGTATGTACTCCCAGGGCCCAAGCAAAAAGAGAGGTCAGTTGCCTTGCTTACTGTCAGGCATATGACCTATTCTCCAGATACTACCAGGCATACCGGATATTTTCTTGGTCACATGGGCTTGAATATATGCAGGACTTGATAATAACACCTATGGTTATCTGCAACGAGCTTCAGGCAGCTGAGGCAATGCAGCAATTCACTGCTAAGATAAAGAGCACTCAAACCACAACATCAGTCATCAATGCCAATTGCTCGTTGATGAGCTGACAGCACCAATTGGATGTGGACTCTTACCCTCCGAGGAGGCCTGCTGTAGTTACTGGAAGACATCCATGATTTCCATTAAAACTAGCTCCTATTAAGCCCCTATTGGTTGGGCATTGACTGGGATGCAACCCTTCCAACAAGCAATGCACAGGTCCTTTGAAACATGGGACAAAGTTTCACGCATGCCCTCTTCCACCCACTCGTTGCTGTACATCTGTTGGTGCGGTTCTCAAATGTTAGCAATGAAGAACTACCAGAACTCTGTGGGTTGATCCGTGCAATTGACGATTTTCGTAACTCCCACAAGTGCCTTCACAGCAGCTTTCAAGTCTCGACGGGGCAAAAGCCAACCGCTTCAATATTCTCTTACTCTGCTCAATGGCTCCAGCTGGCAGCCTTTGCTACTGCACAAGCCAGTCTGACGAAGCACACACCAACAACACTTCGCACTCTCATGAACACCAGCGAGGCATCAAGGCAAGCAACTACTAGAGATTTGACAATCCTATCTAGCTACATTGAGGCATGGTGGCATCCTTACCACGAATAGGTTGCCCTTGTCACGGTTGGGGGTGAGATATTCAACAAGGTTGTTGACATTCACCACAACATCTTTCTCGACCTAACAAAATTGGCAGAAGGCATAGCGTTCAAAACTTGCCCACACACAGTGTGTCAAAATTGTTAGAATGTGTCACTTCATGGTTGTGTTCAACTGTGTCATGGAACACAGACAGTGGTGCCCCAAAGCAGCAAATTGGGCACTATATCTGCAATGTTCCCATAACCATATTTGTATTGGTCGAGCAGCACACTGTGCGAGCAAAGACTGACAGAGCATCAACTTCCCAAGCACTCTAAATTCATACGAGTCTACCATTGAAATCATGTTGCACATGACATTTATCGATACGAGGTGCTACCATCCCTCATGTGCATTCCCTTTACGTTGTTCAAAATCCAGTACAGAGTGCAGGACACCACCAGGGTCTCGAAAAGTGTTGGAATATGGTGTACGCGTGCAATAAAAATTTTTGGAATCCCATTGTGGAGGCTGACCTTCATCTGAAACATGCTCTAATCTGCGCACACTGAAAGTTGACTGGGTGACACATTTGGACCTGCATGCTCAAACATCGCAGGTCTCATCGGCACCCTGGAGCCATCGCGTAGGACGAGTGGCTATCAAACGTTGTGAAGGCACTAAAAGCAGGCATTCCCCTCACCCACCCCACAAGGCAGCAAAGTAGCACATCCTGCACAGCATGCCCCTCCAGGAATGGGCATTGCGGCATGCGAAAATGCTGGCACTGAATGTATCACATATCACAACATAATAAGTTGCAAATGTGGCTGTGCACACAATACATGTGCACTGCAGTCCACAGCTTTGCAAACTGCAGGTGCACTTTTCTTCAACAGTGGTCACACCTTGAAATAGAAATCAGCATCTGTCGTGAGCGCAACAGACCGGTAGAATGCCAGTATCTTTTTTGCTGCGTCCTCATACCCCTTTATGTCGATTGTCACCATGTCTCCAAACTCTGCCATCTCGTCTGCCAAGTCCGAAACCTCTTTGTCGGGTAGCCAGTCACTACAGGAGCAAGAAGCGAACTCACTCCAGCACTTGGTTGCTGTTCGCATTAGAAAAGAAATGGCTGCAATGATCATCATATGAAGCCTGTGCCAGCACTGTATTCTTGTGAAACCAATTTGTACATAAAACTAGCTGGTCAAACTGCTCATTGGAGCGTGCCTGTCAATAGTAAGCATGTGGCAGCACACCAGGCAGCATCATAGCAGGGATTGGGACCCCACAAAGATAATATTCGAATCTAGAATCGATCGACTGCCGTGATTCAGTGGGTTTACCAGAGGTGAGCTGATGCACCTTGTGTCCTCAGACTGCACACAATGTCTGAAGCAGCATATGCATCAGACTACAAATGGATAGTATACAGAAGTTCTAGAGCAAACTGCAAAAATTTGCTGCACATGGCTGATGTGTTGCAGTGGTATCACAGAGTTGGCAAAGTACATGGTGTTCCACCTATATTTTGCTGTCAAAATTTCGCCCCAGCATCAAGTCCAAACAGCTCAAGACTGGGCAGCTGCACATTGACATGTAGACCATGGTCAACGCACTCCCCTTTGACTGCATGCGTCAAAAACAAGGCACACCACTGCCATGGAAGCCTGTTAAACGATGCCAGGCCAAGCTCACAGCAACAGGCATTTTCTTCCTCATCAATCATACTTCCCCATTAGCACAGAGGAGGGCTGCCAATGGGCACGAGAAGACAAGAAACACGCAAGAACCGCCTCTGAACATACCCTTTGCATCTACAGGGCATGCACAGATCGCAAAGCATTGTATGAGGTACGCAAGGCGTGTGTTTCAGCAGTTCGGCTGAAATTTTGACATTTTACATGTGTCAGCACATCCACTCCAAAGACTCCTGCCTTTTGCCCACAACGAATTTTGCAGCAACGCCTTTCTCCTCCAGAGCAGTCATGTTCTTCATCCACGTTGCACGCAAGAAGTTGCGATGAAACTTGTCTCCAGGGTCCTGCAAACAACAATAACATCTTGGTGTTTAATTCACACATTGAAAGTTTGTGGCTGCCAATAGGCCCTTCTGACAAGACGAACAGTGCATGCTGAGACAAAGCGATTGGCCACCACTGCCTCCGACAGCCAACTCTCCAAACATTGATTTGCTCAGCCTCACCACAGTCACTCCCACATACATTAATTGTCAGTTGGTAACTGCCAATCCATCGACTACAGCCTGTTTTACATTGCCGTATAGTTGTAAAAGCCAGTTGGAACACAGTTGCTTCCCCTCATGTACTGGCCTCCCGATCATGAGGAACAGCACACACACCGAATTAACGCCTATGAAGACCAACAGGCGGGGCAGATCGTCTTGCCCTGGTTTTGGCGTAAATGTCCGTACTCTTGGCTCACTGGTGACCGACTGTGCACAGAAACAATAGCAACAGCATACTTGTTAGGCAGCACAGCTACAAGGGAGCGCATCCATGCAAACAAAGCTACAGCCCACTTTGATAGGCATTGGAAAATTGGGAAGCTACTGCCAATACTTGTACACACAAGCGGATAAACAAGAAGCATGCCAGAAGCACACATCATGTGTCGTTAGAGCACAATGAGCTGTGGCACCAAATCTCAGTGGAACACTGGCAGTCCCCACATCGACAAGCACAATCCACCATACTGGAATTCTGTGATAATCGATACAATAGAATGCCATGATGTCCACCACCACATTGGCAGTAATCCAGTGACAAATCACTACAAAAGCCAGTGTAGTTGGTTCCACACTTTTAAATTCATCACTCAACAAGCCCTTCTGGAACACACATTTCATTAATAACGGCTTGCCACAATTGTTTTGTGCACCTGGCCACAAGTATGATGTGTTTATCAAGCTGTTAAAGCCATGAACTTCAGGATATTCAAGCCCTTTAACCAAACGGCTATTTTGGGGATATGAACCAGGCTGTTGGGTACCCTGTACACAACGTTTCTGGACACCCATGCAAGCTATCATGATGCTGGTCCAAAGCTCCACAATACAGGCAGTGCCAGTGCATCTAGCACTACATTTCTCACTGTACCCACCATGATCTACTCTTCTATTCTTCCATATGTAAACAGTGCTGCACGTGAGCGCTGCATTTTGCCAGCACAGCCTTACCTCCCAGGCTCCCCTGGTGTTCAGTTCTTCATTGAGGGATGCAACTTGTGCATTCCTAGCTCTGATGATGTCATCTTTTCTTCTTATGGCTTCAATCAAGTCCGGGCGGGAGTCTGAGTGATAGAATGAGAGCGGTGACAGGTACAGCTCCTTGCGCCACCTCCCATCAGGCTGATAGGCAAAGGCACGCAACTGGTGCAGCAGCACAGCAGTGGTGATTGAAGCCAACCGCGGCCACAATCTGCTACCCAAACAACCATGAATGGAAATGTGCGCACCATACCCTATAAGGTGGAACACAACATTGTTTATACTGTAGATCATAAAGAACAGCCCCACACACCCATCCCACCCCATTTCCCCAGAGGCGCTGACGTCAAGAACTCAGGGAGCGCTATCTGGCATGGACCCGGGCTATCCTACATGGCCCCCCACATTCTGCATCAAGTCAATGAATCAATAACTCTCCTACGTTGCCACATTGACCACCAGGCCCCTTTAACACCTTGAATACCAATCCAAAATCAGAGTAACAATGGGAGGACGTCAAAAAAACAATTCTGCGACTTCCTGCATTGTGTCGCTTCATCTTTGATCGAGAACAAGGGTGTCCCAGCTTGCAAGCTGCATTCCCCTTGATATCAAACATAACCCCTGTGCTCTGCAGCCATGGCCATGCTGGATAACGTGGGGGTTGTTATCTAACAGTCCTTGCGCTATTCAACAACGACGGCTATCCTCCACGATCTCCAGTACTTCCTCTGTCCAGAATCCAATGAAACATTGTGTCTGTGATACTTCTTTGGGATCAAGTACTTATATGTTTCCCTTATGTGCTTTCCACCACAGCATTCACATACAAGTTTTCTTAATTGCTCTCAAAATTTTCAGACAATGGACAAGCATTGCGCAGATTGGCAATCCTCTGAACAGGTACCACTCCTGCCAAATCTTTCGATTCTCACTTTGTCGCTGACCTGGCCGAAATGTGTTCTTGGAGTGGGGCCCCTTCCCAAGGAACGCACAGTTTTAGAATGGATAGAGGTGCCAAGCCACTCTGGCTCAACGTGGCAGTGGCAGTTTCCAAGTGGCAGGCTGGCAAGGTATCAGGAACGGCATTAGGACAGAAGCGATGGTAGAGGTGCTTTAAGTGAACTGTTGATGACTGTCAGCAGTTCCTACTATGCTGTAGTATTTTGGATACCTGCAAATTAGGCTGAACGAACACATTTGGTTGTGGGAAAGGTGGCTTCAAGGTTTTAGGAGCCTTTTTCTTGTAGTCTGACGTTGAATTTGATTTTGCCATTTTCCTCATGTTGTGAATGGAGTTTTCCAGGCCGTTCAAGTTCATGTGGAGAGAGAAGTATCAGCAACGCAGTGAAACGAATCAATCCTCAAAGCCCTCTGCAGCGGCCAACAGTCCCAAGCGCAACTTCCCATCAGCCACAGAAACAATGAGGTCGTGGTGCTTTGCAACACAGTAGCAGGGCCCTGGAGGCAAAGTGGGGGAGTGGCTAATCCACAGCAAAAGAAGCATGTAGTCAATCTGGTGCCATTCGTCACAGTCAGATGGACCCATTAACACTTTATGAGGCTCCCATGTTTGCATTTGCAAAGAAGAACGACTTGTGTAAATGTTCACAATATTGAGCTGTGAGCATAGAAGCCACTCAACAGTGTACCCGCCTTGAGGAACAAACCTTGGCACAGCACTCAAATTATGAGCAGCTGGCAACTGTCCAAAAATCTAATGGTGTAGGGTGTATTCCTCCGCAAATCACACAGCAACAATGATCATGCTTCTGTATACCATCCCATGGAAGTCCATCACTGTCTTGCATGTACTGTCTGTCGCTGCCTTCACATTGTCCTACCACTGCTATAGCACATGCCTAGGCTAGGACAAGTGCAAGTCTAATCTCAATGCCATTCTTCAATGAAACTGTTGCATACAGCAAACCCTTGACTCAGGGACTGCAAGGGCAGCATTTTAACAAGCAAAATCAGAGGATTCCACAACTTGGCCCGCTCTCACCTGATATTGCCCATCTGGCAAGTCTGGCATTTTGAACCGAAAGGCCACATTCCTAGCAGGCTGAGTGTGTGCCTCCACTGGCGATGGCCCAGTGCAGATGCGATTGACAATGCTGTGCGGTGCTGGCTTGTTAGCTTGCACGGTGCCAACCTGCACATCGTTGATGTACAGAACCACCTGCACACAACACCCCACCCATATTCATGTTGTGCCTCTTGTGGCATTGTTGGGCCATGGGAATCTCCAGCTCTTCGCACTGGTTTCTTTGGGTGTGCTAACTGCAAGGGAAGGAGCATTCTGCAACAAAAAATGTTGATGGAATCATGGCTCTGCAGATGTAAGGTCTGTCTTCTCCAAACCCATGGACTACATTAGTCAAAACGACAATGCAAAGGAACCACACCCAGCTAAAAAGGCAACTAAAGGCACTGCAACATCCAATAAGCAATTGTTTGGTGTCCCTGAACAATAGATGTGCATACTGCCAGTGCATTGCCCCACTTCGCAGGTTGGCATCTTCCACTGCAATAAAATGTTCCCTACCTCAACCTGCAAGTGTTCTCCTCCTCACCCCACGCAACAAAATGGAAACAAACATACTGAAAACTGCATTTGACCGCAACTGCCATCGAGATGGAAGGCACAACACGAAGCTGCAATTCGAAGGCACAATGCCTGAAACAGGAAGAGAGAATATAGGCCCACCCCTCTGGCTGGCATGCTTGGCCAGGCACTTCTTTTGTTGCCTGGGTTTGTTCTTGGTGTGCCGCATACACTATTCCACAACTAGGAATGCCGAAACGCCCCCCTTGTGCTCCATTGTATTTCCCTTATTGTATTTTCTGAGATCCTTGAGTGCATGGTGGCACCAGTGGTTGACAACTCTAGCCCCTTCACCCTCTGTTTATTGCCTTGTGGGCAAAAGCCCCAAACCCACGTGTGCACCACTGTCCACCATCTGGTGGAGAGTGCTGTCTAGAGCAACCAGAAAGGCTGGTGGCCCAGCACCACCTTCTGAAGGGGAACAGGATGAACGTGGTATCTCACTAGTAAAGAAGCTTGCCCAACAGGCATTCAGCCCCTGACCCCATACTATGATGCCAAGTGCGCCAACCAACGAAGTACTATGCCCACACAGAGGATTGACCTGAGGCACCGATATGCCATGCGCAGCCAGGGCAGTATCAACGTTTGGAACGAAATTCAAGATGGCCCTAATGCAACTAGCACAGTATGTTTTTGGAGTACTAGTCCATACACAAATGCAATGGACAGAGCACAGGTGCAAAATTTCCAGTAAGTTCAAGAAGTGTGTAGTGCCAATTTTATATGAACCATCTGTTGAAGAGGGATTTCCACCTTTCCTTCCACCAACATGCTCTGAAACAGGACAAATTTCTGTGCCAGCCCCACTAGTTCTGGAACAACCACCACCACTGCTGCCAAATCATGCTAAATGAAGTGCCCTTGAGACCATTGATCCATGGTTTTGTGCCCCTTGCTGCACATTGTGGTGGCACTGCCACCGGGGATAGCAGGCCCATGTAGTGGGGTGACTGCTGTCACAAGCAGTCACATCTTGTGATAGCTATTGCATGTGGAAACATCATAACAGATAAGCACCTAGGGTAGCTTACCCAGCAAATGTGGCAACTAAGGGCGGTGCTGCCGCAGCAGGATGTGACAGGACGATGCATCAGCCCCTTGCTGATGCATCAAACACCATACTGGTGGACAAAGATAGCTGAATCGCCATCCTGCTTCCCATACTATGTCAACCATTTTGGTATTGCCCTGTTTCAATGTTGCTTTACAAGGTATACTCCTTGGCATGCCACCCATTGAACATCATCCAATGATTTTGCTTGGCATCGCAGCAGGAGCAGGGAAACAGGCCTGGTAATGTTGGGAACACAGAAGGGGCGGGCAGCTGTGGGCGCAGCCACATGCCAGGCACACTTGAAGAAACATGAGATGAAGCGATCATTTGGAATGTCCCATTCCTGATCCGCAGGGGAATGACAGCCTGCCATTTGTGGATGGATGCAGGGCATATCATCGAACTTTTTGCCAGGCCAGTTTCCATCCACCACTGCACAAGCAGAGCCCAGATATAGCCTGTGCACGCATGCACAGGCCATTATCCAGGTTGGTGTGCTAGGTTTATTTGTACTGTTTTGTTAACTACCTTTCGCTTGGATTTTACCACATGACCTTTGTTCCATACTTCTACAGCTGGGGACAATTGGCAAAGCAACGTGCTCTGTGCTGGGGGGTTAAATAGAGCATGTTTGTTGTGTGCAAATCGTTGGCAGTATAGATGCAACTATACCAGTCAAGCAGCTTACGATTCTGGCACACTGCTAGCACGAATGCACCTCTGCCCTACAAGGCCTAGTTGGCGCAAAAACAACACTAGTTGGCAAATTGCGAAGTGCAATCATTATTGATTAACATTTGCACTCTTTTTGGGCATTGATGGTCGAAAAAGGACATTTTATGTGCATTTGGCATAAGCACTTCCAAGTCAATAGTGGAAATCCGTTGCAATCACATTTGCCAAAATCATGGCAAAGCAAGCCCTGTCACCATGCTGGCGATGTCGGGTGTCAAGTCAATAGTGGTGGATGCACTTGCAATGAATCACAAGAACACACCTTCAGGGCTGCTGGTACATTTGCTCTTTGGCATGCCCATCCATACACGTATCCATCTCTAACTCCATCCAACTGACCTAGAAGCGGATCTTCCAAGCCTTCACCATCGTCGGAAACTGCAGCACACCAGTTTGGTCAGCCAACTCTCTCACTTCCTTTGAATCGGTGGTTTCTGTACCCCCATAATTCACAGTCTGCCACCAATGACCATGAGCATCCTTGGTTCTCTCCTTCTATGTAAGTGTGAGCATGAACCCAAGTAGCCTTGCATGTGGCAGGACAGAGCCTTGCCTCGCTGTTGATTGACTTAATCAAGAAGGACTTGTGCTGGATAGATGCCAATCTCAGATTGCAGCCACACCGCCTCCAAGAGCAGAAGAGTGGCAGGCAGGAATGTGTGGATGTCTCTCCTCTTAGGAATGAGGTGAACGGGTCATGCAATGGACACGCCCCCTGGAGCGAGGGCTTGTTCACACCTGTGTCGATCGTTTCATCCTCAACCTTTGCACCCACCAAGCCAGGTACAGCTGGGAACACCTCTTGTCTAACATTGAAGTGGAGGCCAGAAATGTTGGAGCTGCACCACACACAACGTGTGAGCAATGCCTGATGTCGCCAATCAATGGAATGGGAGTTATTTGTTGTACTTGAACTTCATCGTTCCAGCCTGCAGAAAACTGCAACCTCCTAGGATAACACCACAGTTAATTGGCTCAAGCATGAACACATCATTGCTTAAACACCAGACAACATGTTGGTCATCCACACAGAAGAACTCGACTTCCAAATAACTTCACGTTGAGTTGACCTAATGCCATCCAACTAAACACCTCTCCAATGTTCAACAAAGACCTATCCATTTGACATACTACCAAGAAGTTACAATCGTGACCATTACCCAGGTCTCCCACAAGCAAGCATGCCATCTCCAAGTGCAACATCCGAACCCTGAAGCCTTGCGCGAAGAAACTCAACTTCTCTTTCCTGCAAAGAATGCAGATGAACAGAACCAGTGGCAAACAGAGTTTCAGAACATCACTTCTTCATTGTCTTGCCCTTGCTTGGATTTGCATTACTTGCCTTGACAAATGCACCAAGGGGAGTGCTGCTATCTTTTGTGCAACATAAATGGGCTCTGCTAGCATTGATGGCTCTTCTGTTCCTCAAAAACTAGTGTCAGCGTCAAGATCCCTTGCTGATACTGGGTATCGGTTTCAGGGGGCTCACAGCAGGAAAACTGGCAACCATTCATTTCCTACAGACGTATGCCAAGCCACAGGATCTGTGGGCGGGTGTCAAAGTGAGCTTATTGTTGTCTCTGCAAACAATTTGGTGATCACAAAGCCACTTCAGATGCTGCCCTTTTGTTCCAAGTCACGAGTGTCATGAGCCCTGACTGCACCCAAGCAGAACAAATGCCACAATATGATATCTGACCTTGCACAATTTGTGCTCATGCCACTGGTCAATACATGGTCAAGAGCACGCAACGCGATGCTAGGATATGGACAACTGCATATGGGCCTGCATTGTTGACTATGGTATGGTTCTTGTCATATTCTGGGGCAGTACTGCAGAGCTGAGCCGTGAATGCCCACAACAAGGTTCAATAATACTACAGCCATACACTTCCAGCTAGTGTGTGCTCAGCGTGACTTGTGGAAGGCACAAGTTCACAAGGTGTCATGAGGATTTCAGGCTGCCTGAAACCATACACATGCAAATGGCACCTGAAAATTGAACACAAAGCTTTCCCTGGTGCTGTAGGCTTTGTTTGACTGAGATATGGCGCTTCTGAACAACAGCATATCGAAGAATGAGCCATGGATTGCCAGTAACATTGAACTGTGTGGGTGATGATGCAGCTATCCACTTCTGCTAAGATATTATGGACACAAAGTCCGTTTCAGCAATGTCGGGCATAGTCGAATACCCAGTTCCGGCAGTTGGGACTCTCCCCCCTTGCCTGTGCGTTTGGACTGTCTGCGGTCAGCAAAGAACCCTTTGCGGTTGAGACAAAACTCGCGGGAGCCACGCTTTGAGTTTTGCCTGCGTGGTGCCTCAGCTGGACAACATCAGACACTTGTTTCCGTTCAAAAAAACGCAAGATGGGACTTACAAGCTCAACAACCTCTCTGGAGTACCACCATAGCCTGCATCGCAGCATCGACGACACACCTGGCTCAAATCAATTCACAAGAACACTTGAACACACTAACCGAGAACAACCCTAGTGCGCTTGGGTTAGAGGACCCGCGGCGCACAACCATTAGGAGCATGGCGCAGCACGAAGCTTGCCAGAGGCGTGCAACTGCCAAAGCAGACAACCCGCGAAAGGGTCGCCCGTCGCGCTGTAAATCTCTATTTCAAGGCGGGCGGCGCCGCTGTTGCGCAGTATTCACGAAATTAAACGCCCAGCGCGAGCCGAAAGATTCAATGCCGCTCCCATCAGCCGTCCCCCCTTTGTCATTGCGGGAATCCAAAGAGCAAGAAAGTCTCAACCCGGACGTTGAGGACGCTGCACCTGCCGGCAACGAAGAGACAGGCGATGCGCTGGCAAAAAGCAGCACGAGGTTGCTATTGGAAGTGGAACCCGCCCTGGACACCCCCGCCATGCCTCTTCCACCGCGCTGGGGAGGACACCCAAACTTCTTTTTGCATAATGGAATGAAGAATTTCCGTTGACGAAGGCAGGCAGGGTCGAGGGGTGGCGATCCCTGAATGGGGATTGTACGCTCGAGTCCACGGTAACGGTTTACAGCCGAGGCAAAAGGACAACAAGCGTTCTGTCCTTTATACTCCGTCCGTTCATCAACATCCTTAATGCAATTCCTAATGCCTCATCATCTTTTCGTTCACTCAGTTAATAATAATACTCAATCAGTTCTAGCCGTAACACCGTCAAATGGCCTTTTGAGGGCTTGCCTAGCATTACGGTCATCCATCTCTTTTACACAGTCGCAAAAGCCAACCTGAACCTTGTTGGCGACACTGTTTAAATGACCACCGTTGCCCTTGGTGTGTCGCTTAAATGAAAGCATGTGAGTGTGAAACATGTGAAATATTATGAGGAATTACTTGGTTATGTTGTTGTTATAAAAGCCAATCAAAAATAATCTTTGTTGTAAGGAGAAATCTAGACAAACCTGGGCTGATCCTCACTCCCCGGGAAGTTACACAAGGATAGCTACTACCCCTGGTAATTTGCACCACAAACACAATTATGTTCTTTGTTTAGGCATTCAATGCTAAAACACATAATTATTGTATAATAGACCCGGTTGCACAACACTATTGTTCAAAAGGCTCATTGTGATGTTGCACCTCATTATTGGAGCGGAAATCCAATTCAGCTTCATTCTCCAACTATTGATTGGTCGCTATGAATCATGCCTTTATATCCATCAACTACTGTTCCATTTATCCCATTTGCCAGTCTATTTTGGTACTGATCCACTATAATAGTAGAGTAATTCTACCCATCGCTAGTCTCCCTACACAATGTTTTGTATCCACCCCAAGTCATGGGTTTGCATTTACGCCCATTGCCATGCATCCTCCAGGCCGGTGCCGATCGTCAAAATGGCCACCTCATTAAAAGCCAAGCGGCCACACAATCTTTTCTGCAAGACGTGCAACTTGCAACTTTGATGTTGCTTTGAGGCTGCTGCCTGATTTGCTGCAGCTTGCAATTGCGCCTCCATTGCCTCATTCATACAACAGAGGGTAGCACTTGTATGGTTTTATGTGTCTTGGGTCCACTCAACGATATAATCGAGGTCACTCGGCATGCAGCTACTGCAGCCACGGCCCCCACTTGCCACAACATCAATGTAAGGGCCGTCGCCCTTGTGAATCCCTTTTCACCAGCCGGGGCTCAGCCTATCTTGTCCCGTTCAACTCGGGAGCTAGTGGTACGGAGCGAGAGATAGAAACAGACAAGGTTGTTCTTACATTGGTTGGTTTGCTCTCTTATTTACAGTTGCCCAAAAGCTGCAACTAAGCAGCTAAATGGCCGCCGCCAAAATGAATTGGTTCTGTTCGAATTTGTGTCCGCACCTGTTAGTATCCTCATATGCTACTTGCCTCACAGCTGAGTCATTCAGCCTATCTCACCTGTGGCATATTGCCAGCACTATTTTTATTCTTGTTTGGTCCCGAGGGTCCCGTGGGCCTGCCCCTTTTATAGACCACCGTGTTGACCAACACGGCTCCCCTTTTCCCATGATACTTTTCTATTTATTGTGCCGAGAAACTCCCCGAGCTGCTATCCCTATTATGCAAGTCCAATACCTGGGTCAAAGCCCGTGATATTTTATTATATAATGTTCTCCCCTGAGCGCTCATATTGTATAGAGTGCCATGTTTCTCTTTAAGTTTGGTACTCTAATATACAATGCTCCTAGTCGGTTCGTAATATACAGTGAGATGTAAGTTCCCACTCACACCAGGGTAGATCTACTAGGGCTGTTGTAGACCTGGGCTGAAGGGCGACAAAACATCCAAACTCTTGATCTTTTGCTGCATCATTTAAGGTTGTGGCAGTGATGGTCCAGGTCCTAGTCTTCCCATCGTAAATGGCTAGGCAGTCGCCTACACTGTCAGAGGTGCCTTAGGAACTGGCACTATAGGAGCAGTTTGCGCATGACCTGTCCCCTTATTTAGGATTTTCCTGCCCCTCCACTAAGCTTCTCGCCACTTTGTGCCTACCTCCTGAACATCAGGTACACGGATCTTCAATGCTTTCTACTGTACCTTGAGTATGGGGCACAGCCGTGCTAGAATCTTGCGAAGGGCATTGGGGGGCACTGCGGCCCTGTAGGGTGCTTTTCCACTTGCAAGGTAATAACACCCTTTGTAATAGACACTAAAGTGCCTATCATGGAAAGCCCCTAGCATATCCCAATAATTGTGTATGTCATGTACGGCTGGAGGGTGTACAACTAAGGCAAGTCCCTGCTGCATCCTGAGTGCCTCACAGATCCTATGTGGATCCCTTTGCCGTTTGGCTACCAGGTCAGGTTTGCCCATGTATACTTGATCTCCTGTGTATCCTGACCTGCACTACTCTCACCTTGATGGGGTGAGGGGGCTTGCTGACCTACTCATTGTGCCTCCTTAAAGTTGAGGTAGTCAGTAGCCTCCTCCTTACCAATGAGCTAGGCTTTCTCGTCAGCCTCCACCTATGCCTTTTCCAGGGCTGCCTTCTCCAAGGTTGCTTTCTCCAGTGTTGCTTCTTGCCTCTTAATGAGTGCATATATCTCCTTCCTCTCTTGAGCAATGGGACTAGCTGGAGCACCCCCTAAACCAAGATAAACAACATCATCATGCCCTGCAGAATCACCCATTTCCGTATTAGCATGGACATGTGATGTTTGAGTCTACTCCTTGGGAGTTGCATCAAGGGTTTTACCTGGTTTTTCCTTCTCTGCCCCCTTGGGCTGCTCGGCCTTTGCAGAAGGCTGCTTTGCACCAAATGTGGTGGGTGCATTGGCCCCGCTGTCTCCGCTACTTGACTCGTCCGCCCATGGGGCTGCCTTGCGAGTCAATGCTACCTAGAGAGAGGGCTTGCCCACTGAAGGATCTGCCAATGCTTTTAACAACCTTTCGTGCAAAATGTCGGTAAGGTCCAAATAGGAGCATTTGTGCGCAACGTTGTTGTTATGTGATTATTTTGGCGAAACAGTTGTGCGCAGGACTAGACGTCTGAAAATGGACGTGTTTGTGCGAAATATTGTTGTATTTGAGTACACGACAAACAGGAGAGGCAGCGCGCATTTACAACACAAGTTCAGCGATGTACATCACAATCTCCAAAAAGTTGTTACAAAAAATGTGCATGACATCCCAAGACCCCCCCACCCCCTCCCCACCCCACCGCCCTTCACCCCCCTCTGCCAAACCACCAGCCCGGGCCGCCCGGCCCCCCTGAACCCGGCGGGTTGGCGGCCGGCACGGCGCGTGCTCGGGCCAAGGCCGGCGGGGAGCATCCCACTGCATCTCCACCCCCCCCCGCAAAGCGGAGCGCCCGCCGGCCTGCCGAAAGCGCTCCATGAAGTTGTCGAGGAGGCCGGGGCTGCCCACGTGGTCAACGGCGCCCCCCCGCCGGATCAACTCAGCAGACGGCCGACCGCCGCCCTCCGCTGCCACGCCGGCCGCCCTCGCACCCGCCGCAACGCCTCCCTCCGCAAGTCCACCCGCCCCTTGGAGGTGGCCATGGCCGGAGGGGGAACGGGGACGCTGCGCGGGCCCCGGCGGCACCGGCGGCCCCCGACCCAGGGCGCGGGCGGACCCACCCACCGCCAGGCCCACCATTGCGGTGGCGGCACAGGCGGCGGCCACGGGGCCGCGGGGCTCCGCGCCGGTGGGAGGGGGGCCCGCCGTCACCCAGCACCGCCGGCCCTTGTTGAGCCAGCAGGCCTTGCAGCCGAAGACGAGTTTGGCGGGGGTGACGGCGGCCTTGTACCAGGGGCAGGCAGGGTGGACGGTCCGCCCGTGCTCGTCCCACCGCCCCGCGCATCTCCAAACGTCCCCCCAGGAGGGGACGCGCATCCTCAGGGTGAGGGAGTCCCTGCGCCACCGCAAACAAACACGCTCAGTACGGCATTCCTCGGCCACTGGGGGATCCTTTGCGCGCGCCGAGCGCGCAAACAGAGGAAAAAAATTCGAAAATTGCCAAAGAAATCAAAAAAATGTTTTTTCTATTCTCTCCCCTTGCCGGCTTACTCCCCCCCTCAGCAGCCGCAGACACCCTTTGCGCGCGCCGCGCGCGCAAACAGAGGAAATAGAAAATTCGAAAATTGCTAGGGAAATCCATTAAATGGATTTATTTATTCTCTCCCCTTTCCGGCTTACTCACCCCCCCTCAGCAGGTTCCTCCTCAGAGGGGGCGATGGGTGGCGCCGCCGCCTCCGGCGGATCGGGGGCCGCGGCTGCCCGGCGCGAGGCGCCTGCCCCGTGCCCCCACTCACTGGCCGCCGG